AAATGAATTCATAACTTTATTTATACATAATAGTATTTTCAATTTTTCATAACAATAGATTGAAGAATAAAACTACTAGTAAACATTCTATTATCAAAATATGAGATAAATGGGTTATTTTATTTAAACATTGTTAGTCTTATATGTATATATATATATATGTATTGCACATTATAAGTACTTCAGAATTTTTCTTAAAATGATGTCGGTGAACGTTTATATTCGAGTGATGAAAAGGATAACAATGTTAAGATTGAATTCATACAAATGAATGCAGTAAAAAAAAATGTAAAATGCAGTTAAAATAAAATAATTTTATTTATAGAATTGTCTGAGCCATAATTTAGATATTTGTATAACATTATACCATAATTCAATTAACGTTCATACGGAGTTTAAATGTCATACTCTAAAACGCTATGCTCAACATTATTAGCAAATAGGTAAAATCATAATTAACAAGTTCCTCATTTTTTATTTTTTTTGAACAACTAAGGGATTTTCTATTTTAGCTAATCTTTCATGTAAACTTTTTTCTTCCTATTTGTGAATAGGTATCGAAAATTTTATTTCTTGTACTTCGTCCATCTGTGACTTCTTTACATCTTATGTGTTACTAACCTCAGCTATTCCTGTTCGTCTTTTTGTGTACAGTGCAATTTATATTTTTAGCAACAAATATTTCTCTTAGTTTTCATTTAATGAATAGATAATGTAGGTAGATGAAGTGAAAGGGGTTATGCCCATCTCAATACGCTTAAAAGTATTTTAAATTCCACATTTTTTGTAATTGTGGGATGGTGGCTTTGTGTCCTATAACCAACTGAATGGATTAATGAATACATGCAATTGGGTCATTTATAAATTGGACATTGGGAGTGAAATGATTAATAAATTAATAACATAATAGCATAATAGGTATTCAAGTATTTCTTTTCCTGACACCAGCGAATATGATATACATAAGTTGGAATGGAATTAGTCAATAAGCATGTAGAAAAATCTTTATTCCTACACGCAATATATTTTAACTGGCTCTTGTGCTGTTCAAAGAAAAACATTTCTACCTAATTCATTTCTGCCTATTTTACTTTTTACACCATGATTGCAGCTAAAATCCCAGAGACCAAATGAATAAGACAGCTAAATGAGTAGAGTTAGGAGAAAACTCAACGAAAACAGTTAGACTCTGAACCCTGCAAAATTGTAGAGAGGAGCAGACAAAAAATTTTCGCCTCCTGCATTTGGTATTTTATATTTTTTTTACTCTATTCACTATTTTATGGCCTACAATGTCTAAATATTTCGACTATGTGAGTCGATACTCTAAACCATCGATTTGGTTTACGAACTACTAACTCTTGTATCAGTGGTAGAATGGTTTGGTTCGATTACATTAAAAGATCGAACGTTTTGGTTCAAAATCTGTTTAGATCCGATTTATATTCTTATCGCATTTAGGTATATTGACACTATTACTCATATTAATGGTAATAGTACTAATTAAAAACTTTCGAAATAAGTAACGTCTGTTTAAGTAAGTTTAACATTGTTAAAGTAGTAAAGAAGCAAAGTATTAGCGCAATAAATAAAGCCATCTGATTGATGTTTCTAAAATAAAGAGAAAATAGGAAAAGTTTTTTTATATCATAATTTTAGTTAAAGTATTAACAAGATGATGTGGAATTGAAAGTTCTCTGCTATACCTACTTCAATAATTGAAAAGAAATTTTATTTTGGCACTGCATCTCTAACTTCTTGATAATAATATTTAACTAAAATTAAACTATTTTTAGAGTAATGCAAAGTTAGCATATCCTGATTAATGACTTATTTAGACACTTGTATATATACATAAGCAGTTCAGATTATCATTTTTCTGAGAAAATTTTTCAATCTTGTACTTTCCAATAAAAACTTTACGTCATGTTAGAGAAGTTAATATATACGAAAATATACGAATATGCAATTAATGACGCAGCGTTCATTAAAAATAATAATATTCGTCATTATTTTTGTTACAAATGTTATAAGTTATTTAAGTGTTTTGCGGTCTTGTTGAATGTCCAAAATATTATATCTAACAGGCCAGCAAATTGCAAGCAATTCTAATAACAATCTGCACAACCATTTGAGGTGCTCAATGGTTGCTATTTCCTATTTTGGTTACTACATACTTTCTTGCTATCAGTTCAGGTTCTGAATGTCTTTTGGAGCAATATAAAATTAGAAACCAAAGTTATTGACATATATGTATATATATTCTTTTATTTTTTTACCTATTATTGATACTCACACAATCACATGTAGATAAGTTTACCGAATATAATCACATGGAGCCATAAGAGTTCGATTATTATTCGTTTAGTAATCTAAACTTTTAAAAATTACAAATAATAGGTTTTGATAAAAAGAACATATATACCATGGTATATATTTAATTTATTTCTAAACTATTGATAATAAATGAACAGTTAATTGATAAGGCCAATTTTGGATTGTCATATATGTACATACCATACTTCTTTGTAGAACAACAAAAAAATGATGTTTTTTTTTAGGTTTGTTAAATTACTATTAAGTAAAGGCCTACAACTTGATTTTTGATTTGGTGTATTTTTAATAACAAACATATTTATTAATATATAGATACATATACATATTTATATAATAATTACACATACCCTAGATATACCCACTATTTAAAGGTACTATTTTTTTATTATTATGTGAGGTCTGGTTGTTGAGATATAACCAGACCATATTTACGCCATTAAATCAAATGCAGGATTAACTTTGGAAATTTATATTCAATAGGAAAATTAATTTCTAAATCCCATTCTTTTTAATGATTATGTAGAACTATGAGATGGAACTTATTTTTAATGAAACAAAAAAAAATTAAATCTTTTTGCAAAGCAGATTATTTATATTTATTCTTTTTACCTCTCAAAAGATATTGCTTATCTTAGCCGTATTATTTTTAACTTATTTCATAATGAAATCTATATTATCTCATGAAATCTATATTGTGAGTTTCTTCTTGAAATGGTTTAGTCTATAGAATTACAGTTTTATCGTTCCATTTTTTAGCCAAAATGAACTGATCGTAAAAATTCGATTTTCGCCAATGCAGTTAGACAATTTCAACATAATCTGATTTCCGGATTTTGATTTTAAAAGTCAAAAATTTTAATAACGCTCTAAACGTGACTTTTCAAAAATTTTTTCATACTGAATCTATTTGAGACATTATTTTTGATTTTATTATATTTTGACCTATTTATATAGCTATGGAGGATACTTTAACAAAAAACTTTATGGTAAACCTACAAATAAAAAATGCTCCTTGCTAAACGGGTACGCACAATCACCAGAGCTGTTATGCTCTCTAGATGGTTTCCGTACGTAAACTACTAAGAAATAACATTTGCGATATTTTTAATTTTTCTAAAAAATTGTACGTATCTCAGCTCTAAAATATTAGTCTATAGCATTTGTAATCTCCGTTACGTATGCGTTGTACAATGATAAAATAGACGTGTGCGAGTTAGGCTAAGGTCGTGTGCGAGTTAGGCTAAGTTGCATTCTAAATGAGGGAAATTCTAAGTTGTACTGATAATCTAGTGATGTGTCGATACGTGTTGATAAATGGTTAAATGTGTGCAGTGCAAAAAATCCCAAAAAACTTCCCATTTGGTTTGTCATCAACTTAGCCTAACTCGTACACGTCCGTAAAGCGCTTTCCTTGGCATCCTAATAGCTGCAGCAAAAGAAAGTGAAATTAATATTCGATCTATGGATAGATGGATTTTTAATTCACAATGACCCGTCAGAAAACTCAATATTAGACTGATGTGTCTGCCATTCATCTTCACGGTCGCTAAAATTTAAAAGAACTCAACTAGCGTACAGATGACTGTATATTGTTGGAAATTTTTATATTGTATTTAGCTGTTCTGTGCCGAAAAATTTTAATAATTGTTTGTGTGATACTAGTTGTAAACCCAAGTATTCAAATGTTTATATTTTTAATAGTTTTTATATACCTAGTTCATCCGTCTCCCAGGGAGGAGATTTAGGAACTGAATTGATATCTCCTTTAGAGATACATAGCAGTTAAAAGTTCAGTTTAGAAGTGAATAGTATATATCTATTGAAATTGAGAATGTTGAAAATATAATCAATATTTGCTGAAGAGGAACTGGACAACTTTAGTATGGAATTGTGAACGTAGTTATTAGTCATCTGTTGTAAATTAAGTTAAAGTCTAAGAATTTTCACAGTTTACTCTAATGCAAATGTCGTTGTCTAAGACCGACCATTATTCTTTAATACCACTCAGCAGTATCAGTCTTATAACGGCAAATTAAAATCCATTGGGTTATATGAGAAATGGTGACCTTCTTACCAATTACTTATGAATAGTAAAGAAATATTAGTTTTTGTAATCGTTTAAAGATATTTTGATTTCATTTTAATATTCGTATGTTTATGTAGCTATTGACTTCAATACTTACACGTGTTTAATTTTTCCAGGCTTAAGGTCGTATTTTTTATAAAAAGTTATATATAATATATAATAATTATATACTACATATATAAAATCGAATTTAAGATTAATTAAAAAATATGACAGTTGTTAACTTATGCATATATTTATTTAACAATTGATTTAATTAGGTTTTTTATCTACTGTTTTTGTGAGATATACCAAAAAGTTTTGCGTTTTGAAATATATATACTTAGTATTGATATTTTATAACCTTGGTTTTATTTGAGTTAACCCTAAGACCACATACTGTACAGGTTTCATAAAAACTAATCCCATTTTCCAAACGATTTCTTTTTATCGCATATTCTTCAGTATTTTTATTTAACTAACATTTTTTTTATGTATTTAGTATCATTTGATGTATCAAAGACATGAGATAAATATTTATACTGAAATAAATGCAGCTGTATATATAAAACAAATAAAACATTAATTAATTAAAAGGTAGTTTTCACTATAACAAATTTATTAACACTTTCGTACAAAGTATATTTGTAAATGAATCATTAAACTTTTGATTGAAAATAAAATAATTAAAAAATGATTGAATTGAGAAGTTGCCTATTATGTTAATACCATCATAATCTTTATTATGTTAAAGATTTTTTAAGAATAAATAGTTATTACTTCACGACCTCCTCCTCTTACCATTAGCACCTTTTCAAGGCCTTCTGTTAATACTTCTAAGAACTCCATATCTATAATTAAGTAAGAAAAATATATAAACAATGCAAGCTTCTGAAAATATATATTAATACTTACAATTGCTTTCACGGTCTGTTTTAATATTTCTTGGTGGTCCTGGTAAATTCATAATTACCAGTTGAGCGTCTTGTGATTTATTTACAATAACTTCATTTAATTTTACAGCAGTATGCATTCGGCGTACATTGAATTCGTCTCTAAAAAATATAAATATATAACGATATATGTAATTAGTAATTAGATATAGTTTTTTGTTGCAAATGTTAGGTTAGGCTACGTTATACCGGTGATCCCTGGTGGATCCATTTAGGCTTATTGGCCCACTGTGTTACCGTATATATAGGAATTGCAAATATTAAATGTTGATATATTATTAGTATATATTGGTATATGAAATTATTATTATCCAATAACAAACGGATCAAGCTTTTTTTTAATATTGAAAATGTTAATATAGAGGTTTTTTTTGTTAATTTCAAAGTTTTATTTTTCTTGTATTAAAATTTTAATTAAAAAATAAAAAATTTTATAATTACAATTGATACAATTGAATTTAAATTTAATAATTAATTCCAGTTCGATTCCTGGTACTTGGAGTCTCAAAAAATTTTAAAAGAATAATTAAATAGAAGAATTATTTCCTGGACCACAGATGAAGGGTATTTATCAATACTCGATACAGCTGTATGGTCAACCCAAAATTCAATTAATTAAAATAATATAAAAATAAATTTTTGGTGTAGTTCAATACTTATTGAAAACTTTTTTATTTAATAATTAATAAAATTAAAAAATCAATAAAATTTTAACAAAATTTTCACTTACGGCATTAAAACTGCTTGTGAATTGCTAGGTGGTGTCTTCTTTGGTTCTGAAATTTCTGTTTCAGTTTGACTATTCTCATTTGCTTCTTTAAGATCGTTTTCATTTTCAATATTATTCGATGCATTATCCCCATCACAATCCTATATATAAATATTTTAAATTAATTACATATATATATATATATATATTTAATTCTTGTTTGAAAACAATGGACCTACATTTGTATTTACTGTTGTAGGGTCAGCAAATCTAACTTTCGTAGACGTAGTTTTTGAAGAATCATGGTGGTGATCAACAATTGTTTGAACCTAAAAATATAAACATGTAGTTATAGAAGATTGTATAAATATCTCATATATATTTATATTCATGCAGTAGAAGTTCTAACATTGATTTGTATTTAAATTAGAATCTTCTTGAACTCGAAACACAAACATGGTTGCTGTAAAAAGCTTTATATAAATCAGCTGAAAAATTAAATCACTTTAACTGATCACAATTGTTATCTGTCTTATCTCTTATAGTAATTATCTTAACATCCCAAAGAATTTTACTGTTCTTGACCAGTACATTCCAATCTAATAATAAATATATTAGATTACTGTTAATTAGTATACATCTCTTATGTTGCTAACAGTTCTCTGACAAGATTGTTGAGATTTATAATATCACCATTAAAATGTTTCAACGGAGTCTGGTAATTTGATTAAGGATTGAAAGCAATTTCAGCTTATGTGAAAAGGAAAACATACATACCTACCCACCCAGCTAAGATATAAATCTAGTATATGCTAAAATATTTTTCAACTTAAAAAAAAAAAATTTATATATATATATATAACCGTTATAAAAAATTGCGCACTCACTCAATGTATCGTTTAGAATTGACTTTTAATATTTTATGGATATATAAAATATTTTTAACAATGTACCGAAAGTGGGAAAGAGTTGTTAAGGTTTAAAATATTTTTCTCATTAAACCTAAATATCAAAGGTCAATGTGGCCTTAGTATGCCAATTTCCAATAAATATTATCTAACGACCACACATAATTACAGTAATCCCCCCTATAACGCGGTACCCTTATAATGTGTTTTCATATTATGCGATTTCAATCCCCCATATAAAGCGGGGGTTTGTACAGTTCATAATCAGCTTCGCATACCTTTGCACGTATGTATACGGGAATACCCCTATAACGCGGAACCAATCGATTTTTTTATCTGAAAGTCTTGATGATTATTCTTTCGATTTCTATTAAAATTTATTTATATTAGAAATCTGTTAATAACTAAGCAAAATTAGCTAAAAATAGATCTAATTTGAAATGTCACATATAATATATAAGATTGAATAATAAATAGAGTAAATTTTGTGTATGCAACAATAATATTGATGATGTGTAATACTTATAAATATTGATATAAGTATGTAATATAGAACCTTTTTGATTCAAGTTTCTTATAACGTCCCTCTAAATTGTTATTAATAACATTCATTGTTCATCATTCGACAATAACAAAAATTTACAACATTTAGAAATTTGCATAAACAAACAATTTAAAAGTATAAATACAACTTTAAAATTATAGTACGAATAAGTAATGTTGATTGAAAATCATATGATATGAATCAATTAAAAATTGGAAAAATATTTAGATATATAATATGACAATTGTACAATGTACAAATTAGATGTAAACGAAAATAAATTAAAGAAAGCATGTCGAAAGATGGAATTGATTATGACATCCTAATTAACAAAATCGATTTTTTTATACAAATTTTACCAAAGGTAACTTATCCTCCCCGTTGGTTTCCTTAAAATCCACTAAAGTCTGTACCTTTTTAAAAAATTGAATAATTCGTAAAATAATATGTACATTTTTTTCGATATATAAAAAATTAAAGTTTTTATAATTAAATAAAAAAAAATTACAGAATTGGAAGTAAATACGTACGATTTTAGCTTTTTCTATTTTATTTAAACGTAATTCTCGTAACATTTGAGTTCTTTGTTCCATCATTAAAGTTCTTTCATATGTGTAGGCTGATATATCACTATTCATCTAGAAATTGATTGCAAATTCAATTTTCATTAATATAATATTTTAGTACTACAAAACTAAGAAAAAATTACCATTTCTACAACCTCCACATCAGCTTCAATTCGCAAATGATAAAGGAATGTTTTCAAATCCTTTTTCATTTGTATTGAGTTATCTTCCATTTGTGCAACTGTAAATATTCGTAGCTTGCAGTTTCTCCATGTTCTATGCTGTTTCAATAAGAATGGCAATAGCATAAGAAGCCCTCCATCATGTACAATCCACCATATATCTATATTACCACCAATCTAAAAAAAAAATACATTTATAATTAAAATTATTAATATGAAATTATTTACTTAAATTAAATCAATTTCAATAAAAGAGTAAAAATAATTATATTACCTTATGATTGGACTCAGGGAAGAAATTAATTCCCTTTGGTACGAGTAAGGCCATATGACAAGCACCTACAGTACGAACAGTTTGAATGAAAGTTTTCCAACTTTGTTTACCTTCCTGGCGCCAACTATAGGGCCAACCAACTATAACTGTATTTGGTTTCATTCCACCTAAGCCTATAGTTTGAATCCTAGAATATGTATTTATGTTATTAGTATTTTTTATTTGCATATTTAATCAAATTTATATAATACTTACACTGAACTCAAACCTTCGCTTATTTCTTTTGCAACCATGACATCACAAAATCCTTTAACCCTCTCATCGTCCATTAGTTTGCGTAATGCAGCTTTAGCTTCAACAGCCTTGGAATTAATTTTGTTGTGATCCCCTTGTATAACGGAAACACATATTGTTAAACCTTTTCCAGCTTTTAGCTGAGTAGCAAAGGCAAAAATTTTTCTATATTTTGGCAAAAAGTTATCATTTAACTTAGAAAGTACTAAAATTTGTGGTCGCCAGTTCTTTGTATGTGGAGGACCTTCTTCCAATCGTAGTAATGAGTAACGTGCTGCTGTTAATGCCATACCTCTAATGCCATCACCCCATTCTTTCTCAGCACTATAATAAACAATATATAAATATATGTATTTATGTGCACATTTAAAATTTTAATATATAAATTAACCGGGATGTTCAATAAGTTGCGAAATAAAAATAAACAAACTCATTTTTTATTAATTTTATTATTTATTTATTGTTTGTTAATTTATTTAAAAATGTGCAAATATGGTACTCCTTTCGTCAGCAATTAATTTTTTGTTTGATAGAAAATTTTTTTTCACGAAAGAATCTATTGAGCCAGAATTCAGAGAGAGCTAAACCTAGAGAATAGGCTAATTATTGTAAGAATTTGTACTTTAATTTACTAATTTTAGCGATGGTTGATTGTTCATATCTAAAATCATTATCAGGCTCATAGTGGTAGACCTAAGTCTTATCCATAGTGATGTAACGATGCATAATATTATTTTTTACCTTTCTGATGTCGCTGATAAAATCGTATACAAATATGTTTTTATCAAATGCGGTACTTAATATTACGCCTACTTATTGAACACAACTGCATATATAAAACTACTAATTAATAGTTAATAAAATTTTCTTACCCTCTGTACTCAATATATTTGTATATTATTATGGCCATTCCCATAGCAATTAATGCAAAGTACCATGATGTCATGAACATAACTGATATGCAAAGTGTAAGCCCTATTAAAGAGAGTGACCAATGGTAAAATTTGAAACGTGGTCTCCAATTTGGTGTTCGAAGTAGAGTTTGAACTGCACAAGCTAAATTTACGAATCCATAGCACATTAAGAAGAACATGGACAATAAGGGTGCAAGTAAATCAACATTTCCTATATATAACCAATAATGATTTGTTATAGTATTTTATTATAATTTTTAATAGTTTCAATTATTTACCCAATAGAATTCCACATTGACAAATAACTATTGTTAAGAGCAGGGCACGAGTAGGTTCTCCCCTCTTTGAAGACTTTGCAAATGGTGCCAAAAATGGTATAATTTGATCTCTTGCAATTGCTTGTAGTAAACGTGGTGCACCTGTTAAACTTTGTAAACCGGCTCCAAGGGTTGAAAGAAAAGAACCAATCAATATTACCCATTGATTTGGCCATGCCATATTTGCTACGACCAATTTACCACCAATTGATTGCCCAAATCTGTAAATTAAAATTTATTTGATTAATTTTTTTTTAATTATTAATAATTTTATTGATATATACTTGTCTCGTAATAGCAAATTGTCGACAGTTCCAGCAAAGAGCAAAACGCACGATAAGTAAACAGTACTTGTTGTTAAAATTGCGCATATTGTACCAATGGGTATACTCTTTTGTGCATCTGCTAAGTCTCCAGATCTATTTGATCCAGCCATAATACCTATATATTAAAAATTTATTATAACAACTCAATTATGGTCGTATGTAACATTAACTTTATAAAAATTAATTGTTACTTTTTATTCAGTGTACAAGTTTAGTTTAATATATAAAATACTTTTTTATACTAACCAGTTACTGAAGGAAAGAATATACCAATAAGTAATGTGAATGAAGTTGTTATATCAGCCATTACTTGGTTATAAGTCGAAGGCGCCATATTTTCTATATCAGCTAGGTTTCTGCCATATGAAATGAATTGTCCTTTCTGTTGAGCAAATTAAATTTATTTATAAATATAATATATATTAAAGTTTACTGTGAAAAATATCAAAAACTGAATTAATAATTATAAATTTCCATGTAATAATTAGTAAATCCAACAATTCCAAATTATGTTGATCCCATCTTAATATGATTTTCTTTACAAGTAAGTACATATTGACAGGATATTTATAGCTTTTAAATATTCAATACTTGCCTTAATTATTATTAAATTTTATTTTACTAGAAATTTTAATTTAAAATGGTAATAACAGCATAATATGCTTTCATCGTCATGACCAAAAAATATCACAACACTGACATATACTGCCTGCATAACGTGGCCCTGAGTAAGAATTTGATTGTTCATGTTTTTATGATTTTTACTATTAAACCTAGATAATAAAAGGTCTCACAAGATTTTTTAGATTTGGTAATCACAGGCACAAAATTGGAAATTTTTTAATCAAAAATTTTGTACTTATTTAGACATCTATATGATTAAGTTATCGTTAGTAGAATTATGCTTGCTTATACTAAAACCATTAATTTAATAGAATAACTATATTTTTAACAGGCAATGATATTGATTATAACTACAGTCGAGTCCCGATAATTCGAAATCGCAAAAGAACAGCACTATTTACGAATTAGAGGGTGGTTTTCGAATTATCGAGGTCCAGATTTAACGAAGTTAAAAAAGAAGAAAATTGTACAATTGTGCATAAATAACAGTATCTTTCGATTTTTAGTTTTCATGCTATCATTCAGCATCTGAAGCCATTCGTTGAATAGATCTATTGTCATCCACTTCTTTTTATTGTGTCGATAAAGCATTGGAAATCTGCAAATGTGCTTGAAGCACCTTGAGTTTGCAGACAGATTTTTGTTCTGCATTACGAATTATAAGAGGTTTAATGTTCATTGAATTTCAAATAAAGTACGAATTAACGAGGGGACCAAAATCATGCAAATTTTACGAATTAGTTAGCGAACTGTTTTCAAGGGATCAGCAGTTTGTTATGAATGATTTAGTTTTTCGATTTATCGGGGTACGAATTATCGCGATTCGACCGTATTTTGAAAACATGTTTTAAAATTTAAAAGCCTGGTACACATTAAAGCAAAACTATTATAGAAACATTTTTGTTTAAAGATATTACAATTTTTTTTTGAAAATTTAAATTAATTACTTACAAGCTGCTACAAAATTTTTAAAATTGCTTCACTTACTTCAAGAAATGAAGGCATTAGGTTATCATAGAACACTCCACTTGCGAGTCCTTTAATACCCTTTACTTGTGTAACATTATTATCTAAAAAATATTTAAAATTATATATTAATATCTGCTCACAAGTTTTTTTTTTTTTGAATAAATTACTTAAATAATATTCGTCGCATTTATCTTTAGGGCAGAACATATCATAGAGGAATGAATCATCTTTGGTGCAATTTTCTATTGGTATATCCTTCAGCAGCCTTTTACCAAGAACACATAAACTAAATAAATAGAATGTTGTTAATTAAATAGAATTAATTTCTTTGACTTGTACTTACTAAAGTTTTTCATTACCATGTATATTATCAAATATACCGACGTAAACAGCCACAATTGACAGTATTACACAAGCCAGTGCTACTGCTGCAAATTTATTTACAAAGCGCACACCCAAGAATACAATTAAGCCTTAAAAATGATTTAAAAATTATATTAAGACTGATTTAAAAATATTTATAAAAATTAAAATACCCATAAACAAAAGCAAAATGGTGCCATAAACTCTAAAGTTATTATACATAGCTTCTGCGTCTTTTGTGAAGTCTCCAAATATGGAAGCCCACGGTGCCATATATGTCTGGAAAAATAATTGTGTTAATAATTCACTAATTCAGTTATTTATATATATTTTATTACCAGAACAATTTCTACAGCACCTACGATATACATAGCTGCGGCTAATGTTGTCCCTGTATAGAATAGCATTCCAACAGCTCCACCAAATTCTGGACCAAGAGATCTAATAAAAAAAATTTAAATTTATTTGAATGATATGAGTTGATATTTTATATATTACCTTGAAATCATAAAATAACTCCCTCCCGCCGGCACCACACCATTTGTCGCTATGGCAGACATGGAAATTGCAGTCAACATTGTCTAAAGATAACATATTTTATAAAATCTTTTTATTGAGATACTTATATTTTGCAGAAGTAAAAGTCAATTACTCAAATAATTTTCTTGTAAATATAAATAATGTCATTAAAAATAGAAATAGATATGTCATTAAACTGAAATCAGTTATTACTGGCTTCTGGCTTATTGCAGAACAAATTGCAAATAGTTACTTTCTAAACAATAGAACATTCCTTCGTTTCATATGTGTACGCTTTTGAAGCAGAGAAGAGCCACCGCAGGTAAACTTCTTTTCAAAAATCTCGGGGAGCTAGCGGAAGCTTATATAATCAATATGCAAAGGTTATTCAACCGCATGAACTGGATTTAATCGAATTGTTAGAAACAGTCAATCGGAAAGTTGGCAACGAGAATGTGGCATCAAAGCGGTTGAAAAACGTAGACTCAAGGACTAAGTCACCACTCCAACCAACCAACCAACCAACCAACCAACCAACCATAGACTTAAACAATAATACTTAGATTAATCTGATTAAAATTTACTAATTATATTTTCTTGTTCTGTTTTTATCTAAATGGAATATTTATTTATCATCAAGCAACGTATTGAAAAAATACTTTGTGATAACTTTACTATATTTTGTGATTAATAGAAATGGTGTCATTAAGAACAGATTAAAAAAGGGATTTATATTAAATAATAGTATAGCTTCAAAAAAGATTAAGACAATTAAAATGGATGCAATAATTTTATTGTAATTTTGGTAACCTTTTATTTAAAGGCATTCAAACCTTATCAGAAAAATACAAACTTAGAAAAAGTTGATTAAATTAGTTAAAATTAATGGAGTAATTGTATTATAATTATCGACAAGTAATCATTCTTTGTAATTAAAATAAATTATAATGAAAAATACGAGCACTTACAACACAACAACAGGTCAACACGATCAGAAATCCACATACAGCTCCGGCAGTTCCTACAACCCATGTTAAACGGATAAAAAGTATTACACCAAATATATTTTGTATACACGGTAAAAATACACCAATCAGCGTGCCTTTAAATAATAAATAGTAATTGTTATTGATAAAACCCTATATAAAAATTGTGAATAATAAAATATTTTCCAAACTGTATATAATTAAATAACTTTAAGACAATAATAAAACCTACCCATACGAGCTGATGGTGCTGGTGTTTTAGCATCTGGATCCGCCGCCGCAGGTATCGTATTTTCATAGTTAGCTAAAGATGAAATAAATTTAGATATATGCGGTCTTGTTTCTAACTCATCCTCATATAAATATAAATTAGGATCAATTTTCGATTTATCGTTGTTTTCATGATTTTTTTGGCTTTCAGCATCTAAAAATAAATATACAAAAATTTATATATTTTATTTTATTAAATATATATAAATATGTTTTAACATATATGATTAATAGTTCGAAAAGACAACGGTACTGTTCAATTGGTATATTATTGTTGAACTAAGATATCGTTTTTAAACGATTATAATTAATTTATTCAATATATAAACATTATTTCCTGCTTCACTTTATCTTAGTCCAACATATTTTGCATCCATATTATATATACATTATATATAAATTATGTTTAAATATTAATCAAAGAAAATGATAAATAGCATGTTCTCATTAATATCTTTAATATATTAAATACCTAATCCTGATCATTTCCAATAAATAACGTGTAAAATAGATTATATTAATTTTGCAGTTTTTACCGTATTAAATCAGCTTAGTGAGGGAATTACTATAAGTCAAAAACTTCCAATCTTACCTGGAGCCGTAGAACCGGCCGTAACCTTGGACTCTTCTTTATTTGAATCCATTTTTTCTAAATTTATTTTTGATTCTTCTGCTTTGTTCATTGCACTCCAAATATTTTAATTTGTTTTATTTTTCATAAATGTTCATTCATTTGCAATTTTTTTACTTTATATTTGTTAACTCCTTAGATTTATGTTGTATTATATGTTGTTGGTTTTATTAATTATATTAATTTTGGTTGACGCCCATTTTTAAGTTTGTTTATTTTACGTATTTAATAATATTTCAATTATGTACCAAAGAATTTAATTCTATACGAAAGACAATTTGAAGGTAAAATTAAGTATACCCGTGAAATCTGAGAAGGTGAAAATATATTTCTTTTATGTGTATGCTATAGGAACAAGTATTCCAATAAAGTCTCGCTTGTCCGGTTTAAATGTTGATAGATTTAATAATTTAAGCTAATAAGATTTTAATACAAACATATTGCAATATTACATTCTATATAAAACATTGTAAAGTTGAATGAGGATTTTAGAGAAGGATAGAGGGTTACATAAGTTTAAAAATGTTATGGAACTGCAAAAGTCAATAGATGACACACGACCTTAATAAAAACAAAACTGAGGATGAATGGAAAGAACATGGAGAAATAAACTACAGGATCAAAAAGAGAACTAGCCAGTTTCTTGCATATTGTTAGCTGATGCACTGAATTTCGACTATGTACTCACTCTATTGTTTACATTAAACTCTGAGTGGAAGTTTGAAGTGGTATATTAAACAGTTGATTTAATTTCAGTTTAGTACCATAATTCATATACAGTATGACATTAGGACTCTGTTCTATTCTTTTTTATTTATTGCTTTTTGCTTTTTAGGTGTTATTTGCTGGCACTTTAACTTTAGTTTACTTTACAATTAAGCCCAATGTGATTTTGTTAATACATACTTTTAATTATTTTATTAAATAATTTAAATTCTTAGTGAATCTCTATACAATGATTGAAAGTAGTCTCACTAATAAAGTGCAATTTATACTTTATACTTAACATACTTAATTATAAAAAAATTTAATAATAGTTTATAATTTAAAAACAATATATTCACTAAAAATAATATATTCATCAATAAACAATAAGAAAATTTATAGTGTATGGCAGGTAAAACTGTGCGAGGGCATGCATAGACTTTACATATTCTGACAGCGATACCAGAATTGAGTCCTTGAAGTATTACTTGATTCAACGTTTCTCTATTTATCAAAGCATTTATTAATAAAATTGTATAAAAATGGTTTGGAATATAAAATTTAAAAAAAATTAATATTTTATTTAAAAATGAGATGATTTTAAAAAAGTTAATACAAAAAATTATAATTATGCAAATTTTTATATAAAATCTGAGACCTATTGAAATTAGTTTGCATGTTTTTCTTACTTATATCAGTTTGTACGAATATAGGTCAGTACATACAGCCTGCTGAAAATATGAGTGCAGCATACAAAAAAAAATAAATATTTTGCAAATGATGATAGAAGCTAAAGCTTTTGTAAATCTAGGTTTTTAGATACGTCGAAAATGGATTTTATAGATTAACTGTGTAATTTGAATAAGAAAATTTTAGAAGGACATAACAATTACTATTGGAAAGATATTTAAACAATATTACTTTAGTAACAAAAGTAATAATAAACAATTTATAGTTTATCAGCTTTTTTTTGTTAAAAATAACATAAAATTTAGCAAAAATTGAAATTTGCGACTAATGTTCTTAAATTTTTATTAATTTTGTTTTAAACAAAGAAAATACTTCAAGAGTAATTTTAGTTTTTTTTTCTTTTTGTGAGTTCTGTGCCAATTTTGTACTTGTATATATTTATATATATTATCAGCTGCAGACTTTGGAGCTTTACGATAAGTAGGACCTACATTCGCACACTTTTTTGCAGACACTGGTGAACATATTCAAACATATATCTGAGTACTTAAATCATTCCGTACTTAAAAGTACTTAAAATAATTATTTGATGACCTGAAAACATGACCTGATTTAAAATGTTCAATTTTTTCATATATTATTGTAATTTTTTTTATTTCAAAATGAAAGTTCTTAAACAAATATCTAAAATAAGTGTTTTGTTATGATTTGTATTACATAATATCTAGATTTTACTGAGGGCTTAACACGATAGCACTTTTTATAATTTCTTCTTTATAATTACTTTGAAAATAATAGTTATTATTTAGCAAGAACACAAAACCCCATATCGCCAAAATTTTAAGGTTTTCACTTTTATTTTGCCAATGCCTTACTCATTTTGCATAAATTTTATTTTTATTGCATTATTTCATTTAAAACTATGCTTTTTATTTAAAATTTAAACATTTCTTTCACTCTAAATAATCTTATCATAAGATTTAATTAAATAAATTAACTTCGTTTTATATTTTATTTAATGTTGATTTTATTATTGCACTACATATTTTATATTTTTTAAATATTTATTTATTGAATTGACTGATTTGTTTTAAATTCGAACATTTTTGCTAAATGATAAAATTTTAGTTAAAATAATCATATCTCATCTCCACTGCCTTAAAACGGTGTGTGCGATGCAAAACTAAAACACGAAGGACTTGCGTACTATTAAAAAAATTGAGTGATACACAATTTAATACGAACTTTGCAGGGAAAATTCTTATATCTGCACATATGTTTATAGGCATGTGTATATTTGTATTTGCAGCATCCTTATAGTACCTCAAAGCTCTCTAAGCTTTGTACCAAAACGGGAGAGAGAGCTTAAATTTAAACCAAAATTCCAGCACCCTCCTAATTTAATTCTTGTTGTACTAGTTTCTGTTATTTGGTCTTTATATAATATACAAAATATTGATACAAAATAAGATATATTCATATATATATATATGTATATATTTGAACTAATACACAGAAGAAAATGTGCAAATAAATATAGTATGGTTTGTACCTATTTCAATGTCCCAAAAGTTTAGCCCTAATAATATATTTTATGAGCTGAAGAACTCGTAATTTTCTTTCATAATTTTTATTATTATTATTAATAAATTTTATTATCTTATAATACAATATTATATAAAAAATATAAAACTTAATATTACAACTTAATATATAAAAACATAATAAAAAAAAAATATATAAACGTCTGGTAGGAACAGTAGTAGAATAGAGACGAAACAATTGCTTCTAGATGTTACAACGTATGAGTGCTAAAATGTTCATATTTTGCATATAAATTATTTGGTGAATCGATAAATTTTAATGTTAAAAATGTTTATACAGAAATTTTGAATTATAAATACACTTCAATTTCATTTTTCATACATTTTCACATCACATCTACTCTGTAATTATTCAGTGTATGTGCAATGTAAACTAAATATGCTAACGATTTATTCTTTAGAGGATCTTAGTTAGTTTGAAGACAGTCCTTTAAAACATATCTAAGGTTTAATTAAAGGTTTTTCATCGTTTGTGTATTACAACTTCTTTAAAGCAGTATGTTACATATTTAACTTATCAGGAAGAGTGATTATAAAAACAGTAATCATCATATCGGTTGGCATGAGGAGTTTTAATCAACTTGGGAGTGCTGTTTCTCTGATTGATAGTCGCTTTATTTTAATGTTTATGTTAGAAAGTCATTTTCGTAGTACTTCCATAAAATCGTCCATCTGCAAATCTCTATGTAAGACATCGTCCAGTATGTATCATACAACAGTGACTATGGTATGTTTTTCAGTATTTTGGATTGGAGGCTTTATAATATTAGATTATTCAGCGGTACCACATAACTGTGTTGTAGGTTACGAATTTGTTTACAACTGATAAAGCTGAGTTCGGATCAAGCAATCAGTAAAATTGTCCGAATTTTTGATGTACTTTATTTTTCTGAAGAATATGGTCATTTCAGTTTTAAGTCTGTTGTCATTCCAAGATATTTCGAAATATAATTTTTTGTTTAATTTCTATTTGTATAGGTGAATTGTATTATTTTTCTCGCAGTTTATAAGCTATTCGGGTATTCTATTTATTAAGTTTACTAGGTTGTTCCAAGCTTTGTCAATATTATTGTGTGTAGTTAAGAAATCAAAGGTGACATCACTGAATTAAATTATTATAAATGACTTGACTTGGTAGATAGGCTGTGTTAAGTAGTTACAGACGGGATCGAGTATATTACCCTGTGATATTCTAAAATTCATATTTTTCATTACTGATATATCTTCCCTGCATTTCACATAAAAGCAACTGTTTTTATATAGAAAAAGGTAATTAAAATAAATTCTTTGGTTGTTTTTTTTGGTTGTTTGTGTCTATATAAAAGCCCGTTTAGTCTCAAAGGGTTTAACAATATCTAACGAGACCGTTACAGTAAAATTTCTCACGTCTATTTTTATGGAGATTTTGTATACTATTTTATGCTCCTGTTGAATTTCTGACATATTTTTTTTAAATTTATATAAAGGTTGATAAATACCAATAAATTAATAAAGGTTGGTTAATGGTTTAAAGCACTATGTTATAGGTAGTAATATAATGGGCTACGAGCTCAAAGTGGATCGCCAATATCGTCATTACCTGTTGTTTTGTTAAATCTGTCTAACTAATGTTAATTGTAATATGTAATATTTTCATAAAAAAACATGCGGTATAGAGTATGTTAAATTTGATTTGTTAAAATTGAGATATGAAATCAGCTGTTTTCGTTTTAATATAACAGTATTTAGGTAAAATAAAATGGCACATGATGTGGTCAAGATAGAAATCTAATCTGGGATTTGTTCTTAACATTTGACTAATGACCCTTGGCATGGATTGCTTTTAAAGGATTCATTTCAGTACCAAAGCACATGAATTAAATTTGATTGAGCAAATTTGATCATATACATGAGATCAATATATATATAATATATTGATATAATTTATATACAATACAATTTTTTACAAATTTTATAAATGTTTAAAAATTCATTACAAAGTTAAGATAAAGACACTAATTTGAGAATAGTATGAGAATAGTAAATTTCAATGAAAAAGTTTTTCTCTAGAACTTTCTAACTTAAGGACGTTGATGTAAGTCATATACATATAAGATTTTCTCAATGAAATATTGAATTAATTTTTGTATGACCAAAATAAACGAATATCAGATTCGTGAATATATATAATATCACAAAATATTAAGAATAAACACATTATTATTTTACTATAAGGCAGTTATTTTTTTTTATTAGAGTTTGTTATATCCGCAAATTTTAACAACCTCAAATTATATGGAATTATTGTATATTTGTTTAGGGTTTGGTAAACTAAAAATTAATAGATTCTTACCTAAGTAATTTGTGTCATTAAGTAACTTGTCCGATTGCGCTTCATCTTCCTGATATATATTTGCATCTTCTTTTGCTTTGCTTACTTTAAATCTATCCGGCATTTTGCCTAAAACCAAAAGTATTTATGAAGTAAATAAATTTATTTATTATAAAGTATTTATATAAGTATATACATATATAGTTATAATACTTATATATTATATAAGTATTTATTATAACCTAATATATTTTCAAAATCTGTGTACATATATTAAAATCTGTTATTTAACACTAAAATTGTTAATTAATAACACATACTAAATTTTTGTTAAAGTTTTCAAAAAATTTTAAAAATAATATATTATACGTTTTATTAATTATTACTGGGCTTAGGACGTTAATTTAATATATAAAAATTAAAAACGTTTTTTTATGAGGACTTCAGTGTGACACTGAAGATAGTTTACGAAGTAGACTGAAATATCTGTAATACAAATAATTTTATATTAAATTAATATACAATTAAATATTAAACACAAATTTATAAGTACAATTTTTATTTAAAATAATATTTTTAACTTTAATGTGTTAAATTAACGACCTAAGCACAGAAATAATTAAAAAAAGTTATTGAATATTGTTCGTAATAACAATTTATTAAAAAATAATATATTATTTATATATATATAATATATTTTCTTAAAATTCAATTATTAAAAATATGAGTATTGACAATATGTATAAAATGATTTTAATCGTAATACAAATCAAACATCATGTTTCTTATATTTAATGATTGCCCAAAAATTTCCAGATATGTTAGTATACTAACTCAATTATACATATTAATAATAATTAATTTAAATGGCCTGATTACAAGATAAATTTTATATTATGAAAAAATTAAACTTTTATTTAATTAGAAATTTAATATTTATATAAATCCTCATTATTATGCACTATTTTGGTTTCAACAACAATTCCATCACGTTACAGTGAATTCCATCAAGGCAAAAGCCATTTTTTACGATACATGACATTTATTATGATACAAGCTGCAGCTCGAATATATTGTTAATTATTTATGGGCATGTAAACACAAATTATAATAGCATAAATAAAAATATAAGACTGAAAGAGTAAAAACTTTTTTATTATAGATTTCAGTAGATGCATAGACCAAATAATCCAAACTACATAAGAAATAAAATTAATAAGTTTACATATAAGCGTAGTTTTTTTTTTATTTTATTTTTAATGTTAATATTATATTAATCATATATGAGATCAATTTTTCTGCTTAATTGGATCTTCAGAACGCTGGTTATTTTTTATTTAAATTTAACAAGTTATATTGAAATTATATTACATAATTTGTTTAATTTAAAAAATATTAATTTTCCATTTAGTGATTATAGGATTATAACTAAATATTTGGCAGAATTAAATTTTAACAACAAATGTTTGAAAGTTTAGTTTGTTAAATAGTTAATTTACTCACCACTTGAACTTATTTATGTATATAATTTCTTTTTTCCCCATAGCAATAAAGTTACAGGTGTTTTATTGCACATTTTCAAATTTGTTGAAAACCATATACACTGACCAAATATACAGTGACAAAAATGTTTTAAGAACCTATTATACATTATATTGAATAATATTGAATTGTTGAACATTTATAATTTTTTAATATATTATAAATAATGTATAATAATTTTTATTTATACAGCTAATTGCATTGCATAACTTTTTTCGTTTTTCACATATATGTATTCATTTTTAAATACCATAGTATATAAAATTTGTTTTAAATGAGGTTATACCTTACCGCATTGCTGCATATGTCTGACTCTTTGTGAAAATGTATTTATAATCCAATCAATTGATTATAAATTATTATATTTATATGCGTGTTTTAAAAATTATTTCATATATTTACCATGTATTTCTGAAATCCTATTTTTTAATAGGGCACATTATACAATAAGAATTTCAAAGACCAGTAATAATGGATATTTGGCAGTTACCGAAACAGCTATATGGGTCAAAACCCCAAAATTACTCAATAATTAAATGGTTTTAATCAATATCTCTACTATACTAATTCTCTATTTCACGCAATAAATAATATGTACTTAACTATAATTAAGTTCAAATGAATTTTTAAGTAGTTATATACCTATTGTATTGTTATATATACTAAAATTAATGTTGTATTCGTATGAGATATAGAGCTGTTATAAGAAATTGCACACAATTATTACTACAATACAAAAATAATATAATTTAATTAAGAGTATCATAAAAAATAATTATTCTGTAAAAGCAATTGATTTTCAAAAAAAAAATTAATCAGTATAATTATACATACACAACCAAAGAGCAATTAAACTTGTGTTTCGAAAGTTAAGCAAGAGAAACAATGATTTTATAATTAATCTTATTTAAAACTTTTTTTAAACTTAATCCATAATTTGCCTAATCGAATGTATGTAACATTTAAAAACTGAATGCCGAAGGAGAATAAATATGAGAAAATTAATGAAAAAAAATTATATAATCGTTGATAGAACTTTACCATAACTGACATATCACTGTTACATTTAAATAAATAACTAAATAATTCTGTGTTATAATTATTTAATTTTTATGAAAAATAAAAATGCAAAACCTTTCACATTCTTTTCATTTATTTTTTTAGATTTCAATTATTCTCAGAGTAACTTATCTAATGCAACATTACGATCATAAGTAATTTATGATATATATATGTATGAACGATATGCAGAGAAATTAGAAAAATTAATACCAGTATGAGAAATTATTCATACTTATTGAATGGTGTTAAACTGTCACATTTTTCTAATATAATTTAAAAAATAAATTTATTTATTAGATTTTTAGTTACTAACGGCATCAATTTTAATAGAGACCTTGATAAAGTCATATGTTACTCTATTCCTTTTAATGCTACCTATTCCAGACTTAAACAATTTTTATATTGCAAATTGGTGTAGAATTTAGATATTAACTGTAGAGTTTTATATTAGTGTGAAAAATTTTTACCACTTATGTAAACAGATTTTACTAATACAGTCAAACTTGCATAACTCGAAGTACCATTTTGCCAAATAAAGGTTCGACTTGTGGAGACTTCGAGTTAAAGAATTTTTTTGCAATTGTATGTAATTTGCTCTCTAAACCCTGTTGCATTCTATTTAGTTCAAATTATAGAAGTTTGACTGTATTTAAAATAACTTCAGCTAATAGAACTTGTAACATTTAGCGCTGATTTAAGAATAGTTCTTGATAAAGTCATGAATTACTCTCTTCCTTTTTAGTGCTACCTATTTTGATTTTTGATATTATTTATATAATAGATTTTGTAAATCATATGGAAAGTTATGACATATGAAACTCTGCCTTGGCTGCAACAAAGTGCATTTGTTAAAATCAGTTTGAAGTAGCTGTAGTTTACAAAATACCATTTTTTATTTTACATTATATCATCTAACATTCATATTTTATGCTACAAGTGAAACCAAAACATTTACACATTTCGCTTCAAAAATAATTAAAAGAAAGATTTTCGCACACGCTGCTAAATATTATTAAAACACATACAATATACGTAAATATGATATTGAAGTGTATGGTGAATATTCATTTGAGTATGAGTTCAAAAATATTCAAAGAGATTTAGAATAGTCACACGAATATACAATCACAAAGATGTTCTTATAATTTGTAACTTCATGTACTTTTTAAAATATATCCATTTATTTGTTTTGTATGCGGTTGGCTGCTTCTACTTTGAGTACGAAGAATAAATATTTCTTATTGGAATAGAACACGCACACACACATATATATATATAAACAGAGTTTATATTCATGGTATTCTCCAAAAACAGAAAACAACATTTTCACTAGTTCAAGATTTCTTTGGATCCATTCAAAATCTTTATTGAGTTAATAAATATTACAAAAGGTTTCTTACTTTTCGGCACTTTTCCTTTAAAACATCCAAACAACTTCCCAATTGTATGTTTAACAGTAAACTGAAGTAATTGATAAGCGCATGAGTAATGTAAAATTATTTTCTGCTGTATATATACTTTAAATTAATTATATTGATGATGGTTTTTCATTATTCGCCTTTTTCGGTTTATAAAAAATCTTATCTAAATTATAATAATTTGTTATAGTTAGACAACTATAAAATGTATTTGCAAATAATTAAGCATATGATAATTACCGAAAATTCATTAATAAATAAATAAACAGTGGATGAAGAAATATTGAAACACATTTTTGTACGTTCGTCATACATTTTGTCGGCATCTCATGCTATTTACAACTAAAAATTCTAGCATACAAATCGTATTGTGAAGTCAAGCCAATTGATAGTAGAAGCGGTGATATGAGGCGCACACACACATTCATACACTCGAATTTATGTACGCGAGCGGTATGTGACGCATTCTGCAAATGTTTTATAAAATATGGATAATTTTAGGATAAATACATTCTCATCTACGAAATTTTTTTTTAATAGAACAAACATTTATTTTCAGCAAAACATTGAATTAACTAAAATTTAACAAAGCAATGGTCATTTCATAAATAGGATGTGTGAATTGCATGGCTTGGCAATTTATCCAAACGCGTAGGCATCTAAATTTTTAACTTATAATTTTATTTAAAACTTTAATGCAGGTTATGAGGATTTAATAGTTTAACTGTAAGTGGATATCTGCCGACTTCAAAAGAACTTTGTTCTCGTGTTTTCAAGGTTGACGTGCGCAAATGTAAACAAAACTTTCAAATGTGTAGTTTAAAACAAAACGTATTGAAGCTCGTCATATATTATATAATTTAGTCACACAAAAATAAATTATTTAATTTTAAGAACAACGTGCAGTTCACGCACGTCGTGTACACAAAATATATTTCACCTAAAATATATGTCACACTCTTTTTAATACTTTGTATGATTTTTTTGAGAAACGCACTTATTATTCTTACAAAACTAATATTTATATTTTTGTTTATTATTAAGCATAATAAAAATGTTTTGTTATTGCTAAAAAAATAATATAAAAACAAAAGGCTATTTATATGCAAACTCATACAATTTATAATTATGCAATTATTTTTAATGCATCATAATTATTTATATAATTAAAACAATAATATGTATTTATATTTCAAATAAAAACAAAAATAAATAATCGAAACTTTTTCATTTTTTAATAGGACTTTTAATATCTACCACACATATTTAGTGGTGAGTAAGTACTATCCATAGGTAGAGTTGCCAAGACACAGTTTATAATAATTTATGAGCGGGCTAATTATAACAAAAACTAAGTAAAGTTTTTTTAAAAATAGCGTTAAACTATGTAATACAAGAGTTTTCTGCAGGAATTTTAAATTTAAATGTGTTTATATTATTTTATTCTTAGAAAATTATGTTGTTTAGAGTTTATTGTCTAAAGGCTTTTAATGTAAAGTTTTCAAATAAAAAAAACTGTTTTTGTATTTTATTTTTATTTGAATAGTCCTTTTCTATATAAAGTTGCCTATGTTTTGAAGTTTTTACATTTTTTCATTAGGGCGACTTATAACAACTTATAATCATACAATTATGATTATTTATGTTGGAACAATATATAGAATTATTTTTTGAAACAGAACAATACATTTAATAGCGTTTAAATAATAAATAATTGTGTTTTTTGTTTACTCTCATTGTATTTGTACACACCGTCAAATTATTTTCTATGTAATTATCAGTCATACCGACTTATTAAACAATATCTACTATGTTTTAAATAAAACTGACTTAAATATGTTTAGGTAATATATTAAAACTGACTTAAGTATAAATTCAATCAGCAAAGTTGATTTAAACAACACTTAAATTACGATTGTGAAATTGGGGCTAATTCTTTTAATTACCAAGTGCATATTTTTGTTACTTCATCATTTAAAAAGTTTGTGCTGTTTGTGCTGCATAAAACATATTTACTGATTTTGAAAGAAAAGTGCTATTCAGGCCAATACATTTCTTGAATCGAAACATGAAAAAAATAAATTTAAATTGTTCACGCAATGCTAAAATTCTGATAGTATTAGAGTAGAATTTGCTTTAATATAGTGTTAAAAATATTTCTGCAGTTGTTATTGTTGATATTAAACTGTAAAAACACAAAATGCATTCATGCATTTTCTTTTCGCTTAATGAATACCAATTGGCACTTATTTAACAAACTTAGAATATTATTTAGGATGTTATTTAATTAATCTACTGCATTTAGGAAGGTTTAACAGACTTATAGATCACTAATAAATTGTGATTATTCGATTTTGCCAAGAATCATTCTTAAAATAAAAACTATTTTGACTTTCCCCTTTTCATGGGGATATATACATTAAGACTGAAAAGTTTTCGGAAATTCTCATTTAAAATTCGCGCGCTGTATATTTTTCGATATTTTAAGTTTATGTAGTTTGGCAGCACTGTCCTTAATTACTATGCCAAAAATGAGCTCGATCTGTCAGACAGTTCGTTTACGGCAGCTGTTGAAACCAGTTCACCTCAGTAGTGCGTTGCGAAATGTCTTCGACGGTCGTACGACCGTCCTGGAAGGCTTTGTACCACTCATAAACTTGAGTTTTCGATAAAACTGATTCCCCATAAGCCTTTTGTAGCATTCGCAACGATTCTGCACACGAAATTTCGTTCGAAACACAAAATTTGATGCAAACTCTTTGTTCAATATTTTTTTCCATTGTTTTTTTCGCAACGCCCTACTGAGGTGAACTGGTTTCAACAGCTGCCGTAAACGAACTGTCTGACAGATCGCGCTCATTTTTGGCATAGTAATTAAGGACAGTGCTGCCAAACTACATAAACTTAAAATATCGAAAAATATACAGCGCGCGAATTTTAAATGAGAATTTCCGAAAACTTTTCGGTCTTAATGTAAAAGTAAGTCACCCAGTAAAAAAGCATCGATCGAATTTAGGTATTACAAGAGACGATAGCTGCAGATTTTGTTGCGAAAAGGAGGAAACAGCAGAACATATTCCGTGTCACTGCGTTAGTTTCGCCGGACTCAGACTTCGGTATATATCAACTGCCTATCCACTTGTAATGGAATTAGGCGATATTTCTCCAAAGGACATAGTGGCTTTTCTAAGTACTCCTCGTCTATGGAACTAAAGTGGGTATGTTACAATAATCCTTAAAGGATGCAATGATGTGATGACAAGTTCCCAAACCGTTTTTAAATCCAATCTAATCTAAGTAGCCTAGTAATACATGCTCTAAAACTAATTAGAAATATTAAGCTTTGACAGTGTCTGTTCCAATATTTTTTAGGCTATGACTGGTATAATACAAAGATATATTATTCATTCTTTCTACTATAATTTATTAATTAATTTCGAAATCATATTAAATATATAATAAATTATATAAATTTCAAAAAGGAATATTTTCAACATTTCTTTATTTAGTTTGATAGTTCGATGCGTTTTCATATAAACTAATAACTCAATTAATTAAAAGTTGTCTAATTGAAAGTCTCACTGGATAATAATAATAATATAATATAATATAATATAATAAAAATATTGTATTTTTGGTAGACTTGTAAACAACAACTTTCCAACTTTTATATGTCATAGATCACATATAAACTGCAACTATTTTTAAATTAAAGATAATAAAAGTATAAAACCATATGACTGTTCTTGTGTTTAGTGGCACGTGATAAAGTGCAAAAATAAGCACAAATAATTTTTGTTGCTTAAAGCTTAATTGTTTTAATTATTATGTTAAATTCAAATATATTTTCGCAAACTTTTAACAGCATAGTAATAAAAAATATATAAGTAGTTTTAAGTCTTTCTGCGTGAGAGATTGCTAAATTGCAGTAGCTAAACTTATGATAGGGTAGGAACGATAAAATGGTTCAATACAATATTCTTCACACATAGAAGAATTCTAAAACATTTACTATACATAATACTAGTGTCCTTATAATGTAGTGAAAGAAAAGTTGGTTTTGTCTGAAAAAAAGTGTTGATTTTCTAAATTTGTTCGTAGATGATTTAGAAGTGGAAACATGTTTTTAACTTCCAGATCACTCTAGTTAATTTTTAAGTAGCCACTACATAGGTCCTTAAAGAAGAGTAAATCTAGATGTACGATACATATATCAGTTCAAAAATAATTTTTATTTGTTATTTTAAGTGCTAATAATGCAATATCACTTTGTAGCATATCTAGTAATTTACTTAACTAACATCAATTCTTTGATTTAATGGAAACCGAAAGGAAGCTTCATGTAATCTCCGATATTTATGCTAAGTTAGATATGCGACTATATCCGAGCATCAACATTTTCATTATATACTTATTTTGGGTTCTTTCATAATAAAGAGATTGTAAAGACTTGTCATCAAAATATGACTATGACAGTCTATAACTGCCCTGATTTAAAACTTACCAAATATATTGTTTATATTGAAAAGTTTACATTGGTACATTAAAAGTACTTAATGTTTTATATTGTCACGTATAGGGCGACAATTAGATCAAAATAACCATGGCAAATAGATTATTTTACAATACATATGCTGCCAAGAATAAATTGGAAAAAATTTGCCATAATAGATCGTGTAAAATAAGAGAACTTCATTAAAGAGTGAAGTAATGAAAAATGTTATCTAGTATAGTACACCTTTCTCGAATTTAATAGTAGCAACTACAAGTTTTGCATTTTCATACCTTTTACACTATTATAAACAGAATGAAGTAGTTCAAAATACTTCATACAGAATGAACGAAACGTCGAAGAATATATAAAATATATTATATATATTAGTAATCAGCATTATGAGACCAATGGATTTAGCGATAAATCGGAAAAATAAAAATTGCTTAATTATATCACGTACTGAACGCAGAACATGGATTTTTATTTTAAAATACATACTAGTATCTATATTTATATTAGAGTTTTGATTAGAAAATTAAATTTCAAAACAGAACTTATGAAAATCTTTTAAGTAAATAAATAATTTAGTTACAGAAAATTAGATAACATCCACTTCCTAACTATGAGTGAGTTTAAATCTCTGGGATAAAACATATCGGCAGTATTATAACTCGATGTCTAGTAGAAACTGTCTATGCTGACTAGACTTTGGCAAGACTTTTGTGTTCGCTTGCAAATATTTATTTTTTCGAATTTTGTCTGCGAATAAAAATTGTTTAATGGGATTTAAGTGTTTTTCAAAATTTGACTAAGTAAGAAGATTAATAAAATATTCAATTTGTGTTTCTATTTTAAAGCAACAGACACTATCAGAAATAGACAACATAACAATTAATACAAGAAACACTATCATATACTCAGTTGTATGTTAACAATTTATTATATAGTATTATGACAAAATCTTAGTATAAATACCATTATTTTGACAAGACATAAACAGTGATTATTATAAGAAATTACGTCAACATCAAATACGTGATGTGTGATGTTTGTCGTTAACACGTTGCCTGTTCACAAAAAAGACAAATTTTAAACTTTTCTTGTAAACAGTATTAAATTTTTATTCAAAACAATAATAACATTTTGAAATCTAGGGGGAAGGGCGAGCGCCTCCTACCCTGCCCCTACCTGTGTACGCCATGATTCATAATATAATATAATATAATATATAATATGTAATATATAATATATAATATAAATACAATATATTATATATAAAATATATGTAATATAAAATATACTATAATATAATATTTATCCATATTTATACATAAAGCTAACATAAAGTGCTAGTATTTTTAAAATTATGTTATTGGTTTTTTACTTTTAATAAGTATATCTTGGAATAACAACCTACGATTAATATGCAACTGATTTCGGTTTAACATCATTTCTGAATAAAATAAGCCGGTTAATAGCGTTTAAGTCCATACAATGGATACAAATTAGGCTTTTTTAGCGTGTTTTAAAGACCTGCAACATTTCAAATTGTAATAAAATAAATTGACTGCGATTTGATCACAAATGGCGCAGTAAAATGCTTTACTGGCGATAAATCACAAAAATTAGAAAGTAACACCACTGATTCATTCCTGGAGACAATATAGTCATTCAACAGTTGCTTTAATAACTCGATGAAATCTTTGACAATACTTGTATAATATGTATTAAAGTCTTGTTGAAGCGTAAAGCTATCCAGAGTATATTTACTAACATATAGTATGCAAAAAAATGGATCTGTCTAAGCGGCATTAGCATTCTGATGCTGACATTCCTATTTCTGCATTTTTGAGCAAGTATAGTGCAAATTTACCATAAATCCACAAATAGTATAAAACATATTGTTTTTAATAGTGTTTGGTAGTTGATGAATTGCCTTTGGACTCTATTTTCTCCAAATGTGTTAAATGAGATCAAATATTATGGTTTCCATTATTTATCCAATTAGTTTAGGTGTCTATAAAAATTAAATATATGTTGCAAAAAATCTTGTTTCAAATAAATTTCAATTAGGAAACAAATAGTTTCAATCTCATTAGCTTTGATTTCAACTACTAATTTTTAATATGAATATATACAAATAAATGAAATTATAAATTTTCAGGTAAAATTTTTAGTCAGATTATTTGATTTGAATTTTAGTCCTATTTTTAAAATTCAAAATTTTTATGCAAAATTAAAATCATAAAAATTTTACAGTAACAAACACTAAAGTATAATTAAAGGGCAAAATGTTTCAGATTGCTAAGTTATTTGCGCAACGCCAAGTCATTTCGACTCTTGGAAACAAAAATTTACTAAATTTGGGCGAAAATTTAGTTAAAAGTGTTTTAAGAAAATTCGGTCACTGTGACACCTGTGGGCCAGTCAAAATTGACTGTGTTCCTGTTATAAAAAAGAAACCAGTATGCGAACTATTCACAGCAATTAAGCAGAGAAAGCAATATGAAAAAGAACTTAAAAAGCGAAGGATCAGGTCAGTTTGGGGTGAAATTCCAGATTGTTGTGTTGACAGCTGTCCTATACCTCCACGGTATGATGAACTATACTACAGGCCGTCAAATCCACATAATCGTTTATATGAACAAACTTGGATTGATTGTCTGGAAAGAACGCCAAAATTAATGTGTTATTATCCAGAAGAACAATACCTTCCTCCAAAAAGACGACCGCGTAAACCTCGCAAAAAAAGCTGTTTAAATATGGTAAAACCAAATAATCTGGGATTAATGCAATGTATAAAGCCTTTTAAAGGATGTAATCCTAAAATGCATGTATGTGGTTGCAAACCCGTAGCTGCTAATGTGTCGTGCACAGTTGTACGTAATAAAACAATATGCCGAAAAGTGAACAGTCCTTGGCCAAGTTTCTCTGAATGTAACGTCGCCACAAATAAAAAACCTATAAAAGAGTGTGATTGTTTATCACCGGTGCCACTATGTACTTTTATACGTTACTTAAAAGAGAAGAAGCGGTTCTATTAAACTTGCTTACATAACATCTTTTCAAAATAATTGTTAAAGAAATCAATCATCAAAAGAAAATAACTTGCTTTCCTGAACAAGTCGTATATGACAAGAAAACTCTAATTGTATAGCGTACAAAAATGATTGTAAATTTTATACATATTTTATGAATATATACAAATTTATATTCAAAGCAATATATATTAATAAGTGTACATTAACATCTATGTGTTTTGACAAATATCTGTTGATGTATGCTTATTATATATAAATGGCTTAATATATATTTGAATGTATTCATGAAGAATATGGTATACGTAGAAATACACAATTGTTCACAATAAATCGAAGTGAGAAGTGAGTGTTTGTTACTGTAAAACAAATTAGTTTTTTTCCACATAGTCATGTAAACATATATACATTTATTACATAAAATGAATACTAAATTTTTCGATTTCAAGAACTTTAAATTATTTGGACAGCGATGCTCCGCTAAGAAATATATTTCGTCATCGACTCAACGTCAATACAGCATTTACTATTGCATTCTATCCAGAGAACCCGAATAATATCCTGCCAAACTGTGATTACAATATAAACAAACAACTTAAGCCTGAAGAATTTTTACCGTATTCGATTATTGGTGTCAAGCACAACTGAAGAGAAAGATTATAATCTATTGAGAGAGAGAGAGAGAGAGAGAGAGAGAGAGGGAGAGAGAACTTATATTTTCGATGATATCATATTAGAAGTTACAAACTTTGAACATTTCTTAATATGTAATAGTGAATTCACACGAAAGACCATAGAATAGTCCTGGTCAAAAAATACCCTACTTAGAACTGTCTGATTTCAGAATAATTTCTAGCCGCTCGGGCGGTACGCAGATCTTAGATCAGTCTTCAAATATTCACGATACTTTTGTTGAATACATAAATTAGTCAGTGGGAAGGGTGGGACTCTGCAGAAACTACCTAGCTATCAAAGAGTAAAAGTGCCCAGACGCACTAACTAGGAAAATGTTCAACATAATTAAGTTTTGTTTGTAATTTTAGTTGTCATAAATTATCATTTTACACTGAAAGAAGAACAATTGACAGTTGAAATAATAAACAAAACTCTTCACAGTATAGTTTTAATAGACGCTCTACTAACGGTTCCAAACTAGTGTAATTTCGCGTAATTAGTTATATACATGGTATATACAATTTTAACGTTATATCTTCTATTATTTCATTTCAATCATTAAAAAAATATATACAATAATAATAGAATAACATGCTAAATGTAGCAAAATCTGTATAACATATATTTAAATGTGCTCTAATTGTGTGATGTGTGTAATATTGCCTACTTTAAATTTTTATTTGTGTATAAAATTATCAGCTCATGTTCGTAATTACAAAAATTTGTTTAATTTCCTTTCAAAGAGTTCAATTATTTTATAAGAACTAGGATAGCCAGATTAATTGCTAGACATTACATATTAGGTCTGTTCCACGAGCTACTTGTAGTCAAACTCAAATAAAATACAAATAAAGTATAAACAGATAGCGTTATAAACAAATTACGTGCTTTACACAGATTTTCATGAAACAGCTTTGTGTAAAATCTGGTGAGAAGACAAGTGCCGCGCAAATAAACAATACAAAAATTTAAATTCAAACCAGAACAGCTGATTCACACATCACACAAATGTTACTTGCAATAAAATGTACGATTAAAGTCTGTAGCATTTTTCCAAATTTCGGCAGGGACGTTACGTTCTCTCAGTTGCTCTCATTTACTTGGAAATTTTCTGGTGGAATTCACTTGTGTATACACAGTGTTACTTAAAGTTACTACGAGTAACTTATGGAACAGAACTATTATAAGTGTTAATTTAGATGTTCATGAAAAAAATTTATTCTTTAGATAACTTAATAAGGGTATTAGAATGAACATTTGTAGACTGTAACCTGTAAAATCTATTGCATTGCTTTTCACAGGTATTAGACGATTAATTTTAGCTATAGAGGTAAACGAAATTTTTTTCTTAAAGCTATACAGACAGAAAATTTGCTAACTGCATTAATTAATTTTGTAGATTAGTTTTTAAATAAAAGCATTTGATATTATTGTTATAATTTTGCTGGAGAGAGAATTTAAAAAACTGGACAATCCAACTTATTCACGCCTACCTGGTAACTCTAATAATATCTTTTTTGTGTATCTTATTAAATTTTTGTAATTCCCTTTAGCGGTTATGTTTAAGGAATAGACGCTGATCGTTTCGATACAGTGAAATAGTTTGTGAAGTCGGTGTTAAATTCATTAAACATGTTTTCTGAATTATCCAAATATTATGTTAATGAACAATTGTTGAAATTTGGGTACAGTAAGAAATGCTGTATGGCCATTAATAAAACGTTCGCCATTAATGAAATTGGTACACTTGTTTTTGGTGGGAAAACATATAATTTTCAGCTTACGAATGGATTACGAAATATATATATATTCAAATCTAATTGTCATCATTTCATATCATGTAAATACAAATCAACGGAGAAAAACTTTAAGGAATTATTTTTTTTTCTGTACCATAATCAACAATTCAAAGGTTTGCAAACACCTCGTCAATATTTCGAGTTTGGGAAGGTAATTCTGAATGCAATCCCTCATAGTCTGCCATTGTGTTCCAGGAACATTTATGTACAACAAAGCAAATTAAATCCAGAATATTTTCATAATTCTAACAAGTTGGATATGAATAAATATCGTCGTCAAATACTTCATGTGTTATTGCATTATAATATAGTATTAATACAAAGCGAATCCTGCTATGAGAAATCCTTATTCATACCAGCTTATATAGTAGAAAATTGCGCACAAAACAATGAATACTGCAAAATTGTATGCATTGAAAGCGAAGAAATTGTTGTAAAACATAAAAGCGAACAAGCTGCAAATTATTTTGGGCAAGATGTGGGGCAAATTGTGGGCTACCAAGTTTACCTACAAAATCGCATAAGCGACCTTTCGAACTTAATTTATACTACTGCAGACTTCTTTTTGAGGGTCATAATGGGTCGAAAACTCTCTAGTACATTTAAAAATATAACGCATATTGTTTTTAATGATATACATTTAAAGAAAGCATATATGGACATGCTGTTAATGCAAATTGAAGATGCAAGAAAATATAATAATTCATTACGGATTTTATTGCTATCTAATTCGTCAAACAATATGGATTATGCTTCTTTTTTAAATGTTGAATATACTTTAGCAATAACACCAGAAAATTCGTATTCAGCGACAAACATAGCATATATAGATTGTGTACGTAGGATTATTTCGAATAATATTATATTTGATATAGAAAAAAATGAACTGAATAAAGAAACTCTTCCTGCTGAAGAATTAAATATAAATGATAGTTTGCTTGATAGTTATGCTCAATTTGGCACGGACGAAATATTCAAAAAGCTTATATATGTTTTATGCGGTAAAAATATGCAAATAAATTACAAACACTCTTTCCACGGTTTTACAGCAGTTTTTATTGCTGCAAAACTAAATAAAGTAATGCATCTTCGCACATTATTACAACTGGGAGCAGATCCATTTATTAAAGATAGATATGGAAATAATGCTATTGTAATTGCATTCATGGAAAACAACATTAGCTGCGTAAAACTGCTCAATGAATTTTGTGCCATTGATAATATCATAAATGATGGAAATGCAGCGTTTCTTGATATTGAATTAGTAGCAAATCTGATTTGTGTTCTTTCCAAAGACAAATGGTCACAAGGTAGGTGTTTATATTTACTAAAATAGGTTAATATTATTAAAAGTATTACAGATATGTATAAATCAAAACTTCCTTATGCATCTAATACTCATAATCAATAAATACTTTTCGAAAATATCACTTTAGCTTCTTTGTTTACCAATGACATCCTATACATAAATATTTTAGAATATTCATTATGCATACGCATCATCAGCTATACATTAAACTTGTCCCAACCATCTTATTCATTAAGATAAAAGGCTAGTGATTGTTTTTGGCATAAATCGATGAAAATAATTCGTCTCTATAGTATAATATAAAATATTATAATATAATAGCATGCACTTCTGCAATTTCATTCACCGCTGAGTCATCAGCTGATGCATCCTCAGCTATACGTAAAACTTGTCCCATTCATCTTATTCTTTATTAATCTTATTCATCTTAAAATATAATCTTATTCATTAAAATATAAGAATTGTTTGACATACATCGATGAATATAATTCATCCTTATAGTATAATATAAAATATTATAATATATTTTATTTTAATTTCATTCTTTGCTGAACCTTTTTACTCCTGTCTCTAGGGTTCAGTTAAAGCTTATACTTATTAAATCTAGTTTTTCAAAAATTTGTCTCTAACGTAATGTAAAGCACTCCATAATTAGTAGTTTACATTTATTAGCGGTCTCTCTCGCCACCTCTTTACCACACCAATATCTTGAATAGTTTTTTTAAAATTATTCTTCATCCTTCAGTTAATTAATTGGTCTACTAAATAATATATTTTTCCAATTTGTAATATTGTTTTGACATTCCACATATCTATAATATCTTATTGTATATAAAATTTTGTTAATTTTTTAAAAATTTTAGCACAATACATACTGAATAAATAAATATTTCATTTTATTTTATAGAGAATATACTAGTATTTATGCCAAACTTCGAGTTTATATTAAAGTTATGTTATGTTTTATCAAAGAAAATATCTAAAAATGAGTTGAAAAATGTAACTATATCAATAATTTATTCGGAAATGGAAGAAGATAAACTTAGAAATATAGTCAATAGCAAGGATCAGCAAATTATTATTGCAACTGACATTGCAGATAGTATTATATTCATGTTTAAAATTAAATATATAATTGATTCTGGACGTCGTTTTAATGAAATCTATAATCCAGAAACTAACAATAAAGATTATATTTATGATTGGACTCCAAAAGAAATTATGAAAACTCGTTCTACACTGGTACAATCTTCAAATGGTATGTATATATTTTATATCTACGAATTAATTTAAATATTTTCATAAATATTTTTTTTCACCATTTCAGAGCCTAGTATTTGTTTTCGTTTGATACCTTCTAAATTATATGAACAATTACCAGAATCATATTCACACGAACTTCTAATAATGCCTCTAGAAAAGATATGTTTAACGATTAAGTTAATTTCAAACAAAACAATAACAGAGTTTTTTAAAAATTTCATCGTTTCTCCACCACTTATTCACATTTATCAAACCATAGAAATTTTAAAGAAAATTGGAGTATTGGATGAGCACGGTGATCCTACATGGTTAAGCTGTAGATTAATTGATATTCCAGCAGATTTTGAAATTGGAAAATGTTTAATATATGCAATAATCTTACAGTGTCTTGATCCCGTTTTAACGATAGTAAGTTTTTCTATTGTAATGCACAAATTGACTTCGTGCAATAGCTCAAATGGACCCTTAGGATTTTTATTACAAAAATTAATCGAACTAGAGGGTACATCAGTTTTGGAAGTTAATTCTGATCATCTAGTCTATTTGCGTATATATCAACAATGGCAAAATTCTTTTAATCAAGAACAAGCAAATATTTATTATGATAATGAGAATGAATTTTTATCTAAACATCTACTGTTGAAAATAAATGCATTACGTTCAAATTTAATAGCATATTTACGTTCGGCAGATTTAGTACATAATCAAGGTAAACTATGTATGCACGTCATTAATCAGATGTCATGCAATTGGCCACTTGTTAAGGCTGCGCTAGTGGGTGGAATGTACCCCAAATTATGTGTGTATGATTTCGATTGTAAACGTTTCAAATCCATGCAAAAAAAAGAGCTAATAATTTATGATAGTTTAGTTCTTAATGAATTAAAAAAAACTAATAACTCATGTATACCTTCACCTTGGATCTTGTACGGAAAAGAAACAAATTCAATTTTATACAATAGCATAAGTCTCTGCACTATTGTAACACCAATAACTGTGGCTATATTTGGAGGTGAGTTTTATTTAAATACTTTAAAAATAAATAATTATATAGTTTTTTAATTAAAATATATTTCGTTCATAACTTATGCTAATAATATTAACTGTTTTTTATTGCACTTATTATATTTCTTTAAAATATATCATTAATTATTAAAAGGGTTATTAAAATATAATAATAAAGCCCTTTTGTGCAGCAGTTTATTTGATATTCGATCAGGCCACCATATTTTGGATATTCTACGTAGACATTTGTTGACAAACACTTGTATCTTTCTTTTTATATGCCTGGAATGCTTCCCGCTTATATAGGATACCCGCTTATTAAAAATGCTTTCCTATCTATATATTATTATATTATATATTATATCCTTAGTTATACATTGGAATTTTTTAATTAATACTTTCTATACTCTTCACACATATACTATTATATACTACTTATTAAGTACATATACTCAAGTTTTACTTACTCGATCTTATAAATCCGTGTAGCTAAATCTCCGTTTTAAAATAAATTTATTAGGCTACAATGTGTTTCCAAAGCTAAAACTCATTTGAAACTTTTAAAAAACCCCCTGCTACGTGATATATAAAAATACGGTGGAATACCTAAGATACTATTCAGAAGTTTATTTTTAAATAACTCCCCTTTAGGGCGTACGCTTAAAGAATTTTTCTCTGACTGTAAACGAGTGATTAAATCTTATATCTGTTATTCAAACTGTGTGATCAAAACTAAGTTTTATCATTAATTTTAAATGTATTTTAATGAAGCTATGTGTTTAAAAAAATACAATTCAATAGTAATTAATAAATTAGAAAGTAATTTTCTTTAGATCTGTTTAAATTAAAGCTGATATATTGTGTTAACCGATGGTTCAGTTAAATGTTCTTGTAAGAAAAACCATTTCAGTTGTTAACATAATTTTAACAAATTCGGTAAACTTTTAAAATTTAATTGATTATTAAATTTTTTTACTAATCAGAGATGTATTTGCATTGTAGTCATATTCCAGTCATGATTAAAATCTAAAATATTGTATTTTGTAAATTTATGAGAACTGTATTAAGTCTTAGAAAATCTAAAGTTAACATCTTAACTTTTTTGTTATTTTTGATATTATTGTAATTAATCTATCGCCGGTAAAAATATTAAAAATATATGTATTTCCCCTACAGATTCATCGAAGTTCAGTTCCGGAAACATAAGCTCTTCCGTGGGTTCTGAAAGTAGTCAAAGAGAAGTACAGTTGTGTGTTGATAATTGGATTTCATTTATAACTGATCGACAACTTGCTAATTTAATTTTAAAAACACGTCAAAATTTTTACAGTGTATACAAACATTATTTAAAAAATTGTAATAATTCTATAAATAACTTAAATGAAGTAAATTACACTACAAATACATTAGAAAAGTTAAAAAATATATTAACTGAAGAAGATTTAGTATATGGTTTCATTCCAGTAAACTAAGTCGTCCTACTGATTTATAATAGTGCTAAAGGCTAAAAACAATTATGTTCTTTATATAATTTATTTTGTTAAAAGAAAAATTAAATATTATTAAGCTCACAAACATTTTTTGATAACGTTGTCATTTTATACACAAAATTTTAACTTTAAAAATCAATTATTTAATTTTTAATATACTTTTTGAGAGTATAAGAGACATGTATCTTTTTACGTTATTTCACTTGACACTGATATGATTCATTATAATGAAAATAGTAATAATAATAAGAAAAATAAAAACTACATATATATACACTAAATATATAATTCTTTTCATATAAAGCATATAAAGATTTTTTTTGCTAATTTCCCTCACAAAATTTTGGTTATAATAATTTTTTTTCCTTAACATTTTGATAAAAAATAATATATTTAAAAAAATTATAAAAAATAATTTATATATAAAAAATTATTTTTTAAATATATAAAGAAATTAAAATAATTTTATTTAATATATTATATCTATATATTTATAAAACCTATTTCTTAATTTGGTTCGAATATTAAGTGAAAGCGAAATATATGCAAAGGTTTTCTTAATTTCTATATAAAGAATTCCAGAACTAAAATATATATAATATAGCATTATATTAAAATTTATACCTATATATGTTATAAATATTAAAATAAAAATGTTTTTACATCCACATTTTTTATATTAAATTTGATTTTAATTATAAAGAAGTTAATGATTTTCTTTAAATGATATATTTTTATATATTTTATATTATTTTACATATTTTATATTGTTTTAATATATTGTTTAATTTGGTTTATATTCAATTATTATTCTTTTTAAATAAAAATCAATTCAACTTAAGCATTTATGTTTTGAAACAAAAAAAAATAGCAAAAAGTTCATTGACACTGAATAGCATATTTTGTAAAAATCTACAACAATCTAAATTACTAAAATAATTAGTAATTAGACGTTAAAAATGTTTTCATTACTAAGTGGACTTAGGTTTTGTTAACTTACTCTTTCCACAAATATTCATGTTTGTTACAAATCAATAATTTTCAAGAACTTACTTGTAAAAATTGTTAATTTTATTGCACTCAAATGTATTTTGTACAAACAAACTTCTATAATACATAAGACAACATCGTTGTTGTTGTATTTGAATTGTTGATTCTTAATATGTTTCGTTTCTCATAAATCGGTACTTATTTCAATTGAACAATATTCAATTCTCAGGCATGTCAAAATATACATAAAGTGTGAAATAAAAGAAGTGGAATACTAAATGACGAATTAAATGCCGTTAAGCTTGAAATAGCTAAAATAAAAATTCGAAAACTTGAAATAAACATTTTCAATCTTAAAAAATTTCTTGGAGCATTAAGAATCCAGTACTATAACCTATATAAGTATGAGTTATAAGTACTATAACTCATAACCCAGTACTATGCGGAATACTGTCTGAAGAGATAACAGCAATCACGCATGCAATTTTTTTTTTCAAAATTACTATGGATTTCCAAATTATATGTTTCATATTTAATAGCTATTAATACGCTACTTTTTTTATTTATAATCAAAAAAAATGTTCGGACCTTGATTTATAAAAGGCTACTTGATTAAAAGAGAGTAGTAGAACCTAGAAGAGGAGTCAGGCTGTAGAATAGGAAGTGTGTATGGGACGATGCCATTCGTCCCGTTGAAGTGTGTACATTGGTGTTCCATACTTTCATAGGAAGGTGCACCATATAGGCTTCCTCAACAGCATAGATGCGAAATGATTGGTATCTTTCCATTAATAAGTCAATGAGCTCAATGTTGATATTTTTAACAATTAAAAGCACATTATTTTGGTAAGTGAGTGCAATTCCCAAATGGGTTTATTTGCCGAAACTGGAATTTTCATGTAAAATAAAAAGCAACGCTTTTTCACTTTTTCACTTTTAGGAAATGATGTGAAATCTCAGGAGAACATAGAGCGTGCAGATTCTTTGCATAGTGCTTACCAATTACAAACTTTATCTCTTCTTTGAAAAATCACGCAACCATACTATATCACTATTTTGGTCCATGGTAAAAGAATATATGCTGGACTATAAAAACTGTGCTGGTAACATGATTTGAAAAATTGTCATAGTACCACCCAAAGCTCCGTTCAAAATCACTTTTCAAATAACACTGTTTTTAATCAAAAGTGGTTTTATGAGTGCACAGTATTGGTTTGGCACATTCTTCTATTCGGTTTATTAGATTGTCCACCGACTTATACCAAACATCTATCCCTGATTCAATAAAACGTTGGATTTGCAACAATCTTATACAAAGAACGTCTTTTATTGAATTTGAGCTTCCCGCAGGTGATAATTTTCAATGTCTACATTTCTACATGATTCCGAGGTTTTAAATAGATTCCGAGCAATGTCTTTAGAGATGAAAGGCATCTCTTCCTCGTGCATCAAGTAGTTTACGTACCCTATTCAAGTCAGCATTTAGCTACGTACTAAATTCTTACTTTTCACTAATAAATATATATGTTTCCAATGTGTGCTCCAACTGCTATATTCCACATGACGCCCGTAATTTCTTTCAAATATGTAAATACAAATTTGAATCCTATTGATTCATGGTCTTTTACGTTGACGTGTTAGATTCAACTTCCTTATCTGTACCTTCTTCTTTACTCCTTCCCATCTCGATATTATTATCTCTATAGCCTCTAAGCTATAGATCCACAATTTGATTTTTTATGATATCATTAATTAAAAAGCAGAAGTTTATTTATTTAAAAATAAAATTTCACTGAATATCAAATAAAATGATTCCAACAAAAAAAAAAAAAATAATTGTCTATTATCAAAATCGAAATTACCTAAGGAGTAATCCATTGCTTAAAGTATCAACTACATATGAAGTAACAATCTAACAAAAGATACTTGAGCTCGGTCATATACGAATGAAGGCAGACACCATTTATTCTGCAATAGACCGATCGTGACATAGGATCAGTGAACGAAAACAAACACTTAAGTACAAAACATAGTGTACTGTTTGTCATCTTTGATGAAAAACACTAAACGAAAAATACATTAAAAAAGTCCGAAACAATTGAAGTATTTTTAGAGTTTGTGTAATGCCGAAGGTAATGAGGTAATACTCTTTATAACGATCTTTTCACGAAGGTAGTGCTTATTTTAGTGATCTTTTCCCGAAGATAGTGGTTTTTTTAGCGTTCGGCGTACAAAACGATTTGGAAACGTTTTTAATGTGCATTGTTGTTGCTTCCTTTGTATAAGAAGAAAAAAAAATTTTGTTTGCATTTGCATTGCATGTATTTTGTTTGTGTAAAAACACATAGGGGATGAATTACACAGATATAATATTTTAACCACTACTTTCGGGAAAAGGTCACTAAAATCAGAACTACCTTCGTGAAAAGATCGTTACAAAGAGCATTACCTTTGGGAAAAGAACACAAACTCTAAAAATAAACTTTGTGTTCGCGGACGCAAACTTTAAAAATTGTTTGATGTGTTTCGGATATGGGAGTAGTACACTACGATACTGTACTTTTTGTTTTCGTTTACTGCATAAGATATAAATTTTGACTTCCCTGCTGAATGTATTAATAAATTGAAAGTTACCCGAAAATTCCGAACCATAAGATATCGGTTATTTTGAACATCTTTCTTTTAAAAGATTATAGTTTTACTGATATTGAATTTTGAAGAAACTAAAATATTTTTTAAATTACGATGTCTGCTTTTACAAAAAACAGACAAAAGTGTTGTCACGTTAGAGTAGTCTAATTTAAAACAGCTCCACCAGAAAAGACGGCAAGTCACAGCTAACAAATACGAAAACTTACAATCAATTTTGTTCAAAAATTTTTGATTAACAATAAATTATTATCATTAATAAATATTTTTGAAACAAATAGGTAACTACAAAAATTAACTTTCAATTCGTTGAACTTGTGTTTTCAAATAAAGCAGTAGTTTATGTACTCGTTCTAATTTAAATCGCGGCAAGTACTTTGGTTACTGTCACTTAAAAAATAAAAATAAGTGACAAAAAACGTTGACATTGAAAGTTTGTGCAGTCTTGCCTACTTGTGAAAAAATACGATTAGTCATTGCTTCTAATTTGACAGACACGAGTTCTAAGCCTGGCACTTGCAGTTCAATATTTCCAAAGACCACTGATGATAAGTCTTGACAATACTCGAAACAGCGTTGTATAGTCAGCCAAATTTCAATAAATTAAATAAAATTTTTGTTGTTGTTTCTTGATTACTGATCGAACCCACTCTCGGCAAGAAAAAATTAACATTAAAGTCTGGTACTTTTGAAAGTTTATTTCCGTTATTCTTCGCTTTAATTCATGGATTAAAATCTTCCAAGAATAATATGGTAACGAAATAAGTCAACAGGTCTAAGTAGACCAAACCTTATACCTGGCACAATTTCTACCTAGCTACCTTCTATCCTAATTTCTACCATCATCATTATTATTAGTGCGTTTATATTAGTGATATTAACGATATTGAGTACCGAGATCGCGGTTACGGAGTAATATAGTAACATTACACAACAGCAGCAACAAAATGCAGTCAATTTTATATAACTCGAAGTATCATTTTGCCAAGAAAAGGTTAGACTTATGGAGACTTCGAGTTAGAGAATTATTTTTTATTTTTGAAAAATACTAGAATTACATTTTAAGATATTTATTTATTTGCAGTCAAACATAGCCATAGCATAAAAATTATAGTAAAGTAAATTATTCAGAAATTAGGGTTTGGGATTTATAAAAATTCAGAATTTTGAATGAGTCTTCTACTTCATTCTTGGAAGGCTAATGAACAATTTCATCCACCTCATCATTACTTTCCGTTCCGCTTAGAATCGGATCTACAAATTCAGAACTATAATGCTTATTAATATCGTCATTTGTAGAAAAGCTTGAAGTACAAATTTCATTGTCAAGCTCAATATAATCGTTAATAGAAGCATTGGAAGTTATTCTATTCACTTTAAACCATGCTGCCAGCGACTGGCATTTGCACAAAGAAGCTACATAAGAAAAAAATTAAACATTTGATTTGAAAAAATGGACTTGCCCTAACACCAAAATGGATTCCTACTTAAAACAAAAATTCGACTTATAGAATGCATTTTTCCATATTCCTATTGACACGTGATATTTTGATCCTATTGGTAATATTTTGATTCGAGTTATGGAGAAATTCGTGCAATAAAAGTTCGAGTTATGGAAACAGAATCGCATGTAATTTGCTCTCTAAAACCCTGTTGCACTCATTTTAGTTCGAGTTGTGGAAGTTTGACTGAACATATATTAGAAATTTAGTTTGTTGCTGTCACTTTGTACTACTACTGTATTATTCGGTCACTGCATTCGTTACCTGAAACCGCGAATACCACAATTATATAATAGGGATTGAAATTTTAAATGATAACATATTTTGAAATATGTATTATGTTTTAGAAATTAAAGCACATAATATTAATGAAATAATAAAATCTTTGTTAAAGACAATTACTTTATGAAATTTTTTATAATTAGTTAAAAGAAAAATTAAATTTATATATATGTATGTATGTATATAAATAAGTATATAAATATTTATAATCCTTAGTTTATTAAATTACATGAAACTTTCTGCACTTTGATGGAAACGAAATGTGTGTATGTAACTCAATTTGTACAATTCTTTAAATTTGTTGATCAATTTTATTAAAATATGCAAAGCATTTAAAAGATATTGTGAATAACGTGATTAATTGGAATGGTTTCGTCCACAGTCAACAATTGGTATATACATTGCCATTGATGGGTTTTGGGCATCGATTTGATAAGCTTCATCTCTGAGTCCATTCGAAGATACTTCATCAGTCTTTAAGTTGGAAAAGGTTACTAATTAATTGAGTCATATTATTAAATGAAAACTAAACAAAAAAACAACTTACCATTCGTCGTAATACAGAAAAGTCGTTTGATATTGCAACACCACCATTACTCCTTGAGTTATTTGGTACACGCTGTATTGTTTTATCTTCATACTTAGTGCGACCCTGTGAAGCCATTGGCCGATTTAAAGTGTTGTTAACATTATTGGGTGAATTTGGTGAAAAGTTGTGAGTTGCAAATGATTTGGTAACGAAATCCTGTTCTTTCCATCCATTTTTCTTGTATACATCTCGCAATTCGTGATGCTGCCACATGGTGAATAATACTTGACTTGCGAATTTCAGTACACAAGCTGTATACTTTTGTCTTTGCTTGGTTATATTTAGAAGCCGTTCAACGCCACCAGCATCTAGCAAAGAGCGTGAAAATTCTGGATTTCTTTTGATGACTTCATTAATTGTGGCCAATACTGCACAAATTGTATCATCAGAAGTATTATGATCATGTTGAGGATTACCAGATGGGAGCTTTTGTACCAAATCCTGCATTGCATATTTACCAATCAATTCTTTATTACGTTGATCAATTGCAAGATTGCGTAGCGCTGTAGCGACAGCGCACACGACTCTGTCAACTTCCATACGTAATAATTCAACTAAAATAGGTAAACCTTTTTCCTTACGCACTGTGGCACGTATATCAACGCTTGGTTGCCAGAAACAAGCTGCAAGATTTTGTATAGCACCAGCAGCTGCTTCTAAAGTTTCAGGATTTGAACAACTTTGTAATAAAGCTAAATAATATTGGACAACTTCTGGTTGCCATAATTGTTCGTATCTTTTTGGCAGTATTCCTCCAGGCTGATTCTTTGAAGCACTTGATGAATAAATATTTTCTAATTGTTGTTCGCTTTGAGCAGCTTCTTTTTTCTTTTTACTTGTACCAAAACATCCAAGATTATCTCCTACATTATAAATATATTTTATGTATATATTACATTATCAAAACATATTACTTTTATTTAGTTTAAATTAACTACACTAAATGATAAACAGTTTCAGTATTGCAATATTAATTCATTAAAAGAGAAAATGAAAATGTCAACTAAGGTAATGAAAATAATGTAATCATTACATTAATGATTGTTTGGTGTTTTCAATTTAACAAATACACCAACAATCTTGAAAAATTCCAGTTAGCCGATATAGGAGAACAAATTATGTTGTTGTTGTTGTTGTTACTCGCTGGGATTTGTAAAACACATAACATGAAATGAATCACATGCCAAATACTGGGGAAAGATGTGGATGGGTACTAGTTGTGTGAGAAGAGAAAATATTATTTGGGAGTGAGAGTGGATTGTAGATAGTTGGGATTAAAATATGAGTTACCAAGGATCAATACAAAGAAACCGAACGGATTTAGGATTTTATGTGCGTTACATAATGCGATATAGACGATATTTCATGATATCGTCTATAACGTGTCAACGTTATAACGTGGTTATATTCTGATATCAATTGAGCTAGAAGAGGATACTGGATATGTATGAAATGACAGAAGTGTCTCGATGCTATTCGTTGAGTTCGTCAACTAAGTGCTATTCGCCACACCCAATAGCGACTACATAAGCAGGAACGAATTATGATTCTGATCACCATAGAGTACCGTTCGTGCTGAGGCAGCGAATACCAATAATCAAATTAAAAACAACAAAACTTCTGCAACAACTTAATTATTTTTTTTAAGTCAGTTTTTTTTTTGGGTTGTTCTACTGTAAATGATTCTACTGAGTATAAGATCCCATTAGGGTGAAAAAATCAAAAATTTTCGAAACGCTGATAATTTTTATAAGTGTACATTTAAAACTTAAAAATTAGTTCATCTAAAAAATTCACAAAAAGTTTTTAAATAACTAAAGACACGTATTAATATAAATGAAAAGTGGAGTATATTGCTCCACTAAAAAAAGTTTTGAACATAAGTCCAGCAATAGCAGGAAACGCGATAATAAACGCAATAATGTCAAAAATAACGAAAATGGGAAATAAAGGATATGAAAGCAAAAGGTTAAGGTTAGAATCGAGAATTCTTATAGAGATTGGGAGCCATTCGTCTGCACAGAGACATCCAAATGTCGTTAAATCATTCGAACAGGTACAATACTATAAGTAAGGAAAGCTAGAAAGAAACGTTATCTCAATCAAGGGTAAACTTATGCCCTAAAAAAATTTTACTTAGCAGGTAAATGAACTGTTATAATCTATAATAGAAAATGAAACATATTTTATAGAAGAAATAATTTATATCCAGCCTCACAACTAGAAAGATCTTAATTAGAATAGATTATGAACCAGAAATGACTGAAGAAAATTCTGCAGTACAGAGAATTTATTATATTATAAAAACTTGAACAATGAATTTCTAACATTCTAAAATGAAATAATATGCGATAAAGGAAGCATTGGGTAACACCGAGTTATGATGCTTTAAATAATCATAGAAATCAATAAATATATCTTTAACGTAAAAAAAACAATAAAAATAAACCAATAAATTTTTTAATGCGATGTACATACTCAACATTTAAACTTACCTTTTGAAGTAGATGGTTGTGCGTCCCGACTAGACATTATCGTTGGTTGCTTGTCATAATTCGGATCTTCGACTTCCTGACATCGATATGATAAATTGCGTAATATACAAACACAATTTTCAACAGTTTTGTTGCCAATATTATTTTTTTGAATAGCTGTCTTTAAAACATATAATAAGCACTCGACTAAAGGCTCAGTATCTCGCAACATTGTTCTGGCATATTTTCCAGCTGAGCTAACGTTCCGAATAACTCCAGAAGCATTACGAAATACGGTTGAATAGCATGTTTCCCCTGGACATACAGGATCCCAACCCGAATGAGGCTTTATTATATTATTAACAAATACTACTAAACCATCATCAATTATGGTACGTTTAATGTCTTCACATGACGACATATTCCACAGTACACCAGTAACTAATTCTTTCACTTCTGATTCCTGTGTTTTACATAATAGATTAATAAGAGCTGGAATGCCACCAGCATTTTTAATTGCACGTTTATTTTCATCATTTTGTCTTCCATAAGATAAATTGCGTAAAGCACCACAAGCATTTCTAAAAATATTAAAAAAATAATTAATTAATAGTTTCGCATTAAAGTTCATTTTTTTCTAAATATAAATTAGTTAAATGTTAAATTTTTTTTGTCAAATGTGACGCGTCTTACGACGCAATATGAGTTAGAAAGGTTCGAACAGTAATGAAGAAACAACAAACATTTTAATTAACCTATTGAAATTTGGCTGATCATGCAACGCTGTTTCAAGTATTGCTAAATACTGATCATCAGTGATGTTTGGAAATATTTGAATTTTTTAATTAGTTTTTAGTCCGTATATAATATGTTTGGACTGCAAGTTTCACGCTCTTAGAACTCATGCATGTCAGTTTAGAAACGATGACTAATCATGTTTTTTTCACAAGTAGCCAAGCTGCACATACTTTCAATGCTCAAGTTCCAAGTAGCTTGTCACTTTATTTGTAAGCGACACTAACAAACCACTTGCCATACTTTTTATATTACCACGAGCTTATAAACTGCAGCTTTATTTAAAAACACAAGTTCAATGAGTTGAAAGTTATTTTTGTAGTTGCTTATTTTTATTTCAAATCTGTTAATCACTCGTCAGATCTTTTTTTTATTATTGGTTTATTATTGTAAAAAATATTTTTTATTAAAAAGCAGAACAAAATTCTATAAAAATGGGTTAGCATAGATTTGCGTAGAAAAAAAAAAGTAGATAATGCGTATGTTTTTCCAATATTTATTTAATACTTACTTATGAATTTCTGGAATTTCATATGATAACAGTCGTACCAATGGAGGTATGCCACCTAGTGTTCGTGTTCTTTGTTTGTTTGGGTCGTCCATATAACATAAATGTTGTAAATAAGCAGCTGCATTAGCTTTAATTGAATTGTTTGGATTGTTCAGAAAGCTAATAACTTCAGATAAATTGGGATCCCTCCATCTCATTGTAGATCCAATATCATTTTCTGATCCTTCTAGCATATCTCCTTTAACAACATCTCTTCGATATTGTGATTCTGTTTGAGAAACGATTTCAATGGGATTAATTGTTAATTGAGATAACTTTTTTTGGAATTCGAGTTGAGTTTCGAAGGATCGCGAATTAGGATCTAATCCCATTGATGCTTCAGAATTTGGATTATCATTAAATAAAAGTGGTCTCGGCGAGTATGATATATTATTAACATTAACATTGGTTATCCCATAATTTGCATCAGACACATAACCATATGCAGCTGCTGTATTCTCAGCATAATTCGATTCTATAGGACAAGTCGAACCTGCAGTCAATTCATATTCAGACATTTCGTCGTACTGTTGAGCCCGTATATAGCGTACCGTTGGTCCGGTTGAAAGATCTGGTAAGCCCGTGACATTTAAATCCTGAGAGGAAGCAGTTATCTGCGCCTGTGAATTGATTAAAGTAGTGTGATCTGGCTGATAAGTACACTGTAGACCTCGTCCTACCGGCGCTTTCGAAATATATATGGATGACATTGGATATTCATTTGGATAGTTTTCATACTCTCTAAGTGTTGCATATTTAGAGGGCATTTCGGCACCATCATTTACGCAAGCTGCATTGTCCATGGACTGTTGCTGAGAAGTGCTTATTTTATTATAAAGAAATTTAGAACTGAAAAATATGTGTAAGATTAAAGAAATGTGCTAAATTATTGTGCCGAAAATTACTCACCCTAGCCCAATGGGCATCGATGAAACATCCATAATAGGTTCTTCATTATGTTTAAGATCGAACTGCATATCTGAATAATCCGATCTATATTCTTTTGCTTGATAATAATCACTTTTAATGTCTTTAGATGTGGTTGGACGTTGTGATCGATTATTAGTTAATACATTTGCAACTTCGTCAGTCTTAGGTGATAATGTTGAAACATTATGTCCAATATTAACACTTTGTCCATATATGTCATAGTTCACATCATTACTATAATTTTTAAATAAAAATGTTTATTTATTTTTTTTTATATAAAACGAAGACTAAAAACGAAACAAATATTACATTATAGCATGTTATACATATAATTTTAATGTTACATATGTGCTTATGAATAATAATTAATACTAATTAAAATATTAATTTAAATATAAATGATCAGAAAAGACGCTGAATGTTGGCAAAATAAATTGAAATTTATAAATGGATTTATATTTAATAGATAAATATATATTTTATGTAATATATATATATATATTTTATATAATATATTAATAGGAAAAACAGTTTTAATGGACCATAACTCTGTGAACATAATAAGTCTAGTCTGTTGCCCTACTATAAAAATTTAACAATTTAACATATAGAGGATATTTTAGGTATGACATTTTTTCTCACTAATAACAGTTTTTAGGAGCATATATATTTCCTTATATCTTTTAGACTAGGCAATATTGTTATTAGGAATAGATTTTTATAACTATTTCGAGAAATACGTAACCAAGCATATATACACCTGTTTATATCTAATTAATAATTAAAAATAAAATTACAATTAATATTAGAATTTAAGGGTGAAATTTTCTACACCAATCATTACTAGAATTTACCGTCAGGTATAAAATAAAACAAAAAAACACTTTTACATTAACCGATTTGAAATACTTATAACTATTCACATATAATATACAAATAATAACAAATTACTAACGATTTCTCATTGTAAACATAATTTTCTTGGAATGAAATTTATTATTTTTCAAAGAGTCCTTTCAGCATAATGACTACGATCGATAATACTTTTCGCTTCATTAACAGAACTGTTTGTTAATCAAAAGAAGACTTGTCAACACATTTATCTTTCATCAACACTAAATTACTTACACCATATATATCAATATAAAAATTCATAATTTACTCTAACTGAACTAAAACGGGTGTGGTATACCAAGTTGTTACCGGCATTTGCGCACAAGATTCATCGATTTTTAAACGTTCAAATGCAGTATTCTTATTGTATAAAATACAGTGCGTAATCTCCATAGTGCCACAAATTTACAGGTAAATATTGGAGAAAATTTTGGATAGTAAATATTCACTAAAATCCGTTCTTACCGATTCATTTTTACTTAGAATTATTGATTATCATGTTTTACACTATTTTAGTGTACAAATTGAAATTAAATTTTTTTAATCTAGATTACTTCAAATTACACTTGTAATGAAAGTTATTAGTTCTACACAATTGTTTAGTTATTTTCAGTGGGCGTTGCCACACTTGCTATACGCAGACATGTTGCCATCCTAAAATTCTCATAAAATCCTTGATATTTGAATAAATTATCTGCGTTTACACGGTAGTACTTAAAATTAACCTGCATAATATTATAAAAAGGTGAATAAATTATTATTATTCGTTATTAATTACAATAAGCCTTTTCTTTTGTAAGCATGTTGCAAAAGAAAAAATAAAATAAACACTACCTCAATGGCAACTCTGGACAAAATGGAAACTTTATTAGGCTTATATATAAAAAACACGTAGTAAAATTTAAAGTTAAAATTTCGAAAATAAATAATAATTCTTTGGAATTATTGATAAGTATAACATATTTATTTTTTTACATAATTGTGAATAAAATATGAATTTTTATTCCTTTTAACAGTAAAATAATAAATAGAAAATGTAACTTATTTGTTACAAAGAATGACTACACGAAATACGAATAAATAACGAAATCATTTGTTGACAGTTAACTGGAAATTTTGTATGTACTTCCAATAGTCGTTCAATATAGACGAATTTTTAATCTTGGCAACCGTATGTTTGAGTTGCTACTTAGTTAAACGAGTTTCAAAAGATTGGACTAAATAAGCCTAATAAGTGTTGTTTGATATGTTTCATATGTTGTTTTTAAAATAAGTGGTGGTTTTTTTGTGATATACTTACAAAAAAAAGGCCTAAATAATAAATTATCTAAAGCGATTATTTAATTTTGTTTAATGTGCTTTAACACATTCCACATACACATTTATAATCATTCCAAATCATTGTTTTATTAAAATATGTTTAAAAGTCAGCTATTATATTAATCACATTCAAGCTTATACTTTATGTATACGTGTATTCTGTGACAAATAGGCACAATTATAACTAGGTACTTTTTGGTTCCTGGTAAGCTCTTTTCTCGTTGCCTCGGTTTATTATTATTATGTTGAGGCTAGTTGAGTCAGTGCACTTGAGCACTTTTACTCTCTATTAACTGTGGGGTTTCTTCATAACCCCTCTCTACGTCTTGACTGGATAATTGTTTATCATTTCATCAGACTAAGCAATAATTGTCCTCAGATCTGCATACCTCTCAAAGGAGCCTGTTAGTTTTATGTAGTTTTTGATCGGATTAATTTTGAGGTCCCTGAGGATGTCATTTATGCTATTGTACCATGGTACATTGAAAAATCTTCTCAGAGCCTGGCTTTGTGCAATTTCTAGCTGGCGAATAGCACTGTTTGAGATTTTGCTAAATGCTACACATCCATATAGAAGTGACGGTCGAATTATTTGGTTATATAACAGCTTCCTGTTCTTAGTGTTGAGAATTTCATTTTTGAATAGTGGTTGGAAGTGTTGAAGAATTTTGGCACAGCTAATTCTTTTCAATTGAACATGTTTAAGCCATGCTTCCGAACTATAGAACCCGTGCTTCTATAGTTCCGACAGACGAGAGAGCGCTGTTGATTTTCGTGCGAAAAGCTTCCCACATAGGAAGCTGCCGATGATCTTAGTTAGCCTGCCTGAAACACCTACATGAGACATTTTTACTATCAAGCCAAAAGCTTTAGAAATGCTAAAACTGATCATTCCAGTCGACTGTCTTCTACTGAGTGCCGTTTGAATCATTTGAGCCGTTCTATCCAGTTGAAGCTCAGTGGACAGGTCATTCCTAAAGCCAGATTGATCGTCAGGGAGAATATTGCGTGACGCCGCTATAGCTATTACTCTTTCGGCTAGCTTTCCTATCGTTGATAGCAGGCTTATGGGGCGCCAGTTCTGCGGGAACTGTGGGATCTTATCCTGTTTAGGGAAGACAATGACTAAGACTTGGCCAGCTTCCAAGTCTTAGAAAATACGTAGGCATCTGTTGTTAATTATATCATGGCCGGGCGCTGAACTAATCTTTAGCCTCGCTATAATTTGGGAGATTTCTTCGTAAGTGCATGGTGCAATACTATTATCTGGCTCCAGATCCAGGATAATATTTGCATTCCAGACAGTGATAGAGAACGTAGGGGTCATAATATTCATAGGGCAGATTTCAAGAACAAACAGAACCGATTTATGTTCGCAGTCCAGCTCATCTAAAACTTTCATAAGGACTCTATCATAGTTGGACATGCATACATTTTCCCAAGTCCGCTATCTACAAGGCTACTAACATCTACCGATTATAATAGATGGAATTTTGTTATCTCAAACACGAAGATAATTAACTAGAGATCATAATCTTTCTACCAAGTTCAATTTCCCATCGATCTATTTGATAATATGAGGTAAAAGCCTCATTTTCTAGTCTTTTATCTGGACAACTTCTTTTATATCTCTCCCGTAATCGCGCAATCGTGGTAACAACAGCCCCTTGGGCAGAGTTTACTTTTAGTCAGTAATTACTACATAGCAAGAACTGCGGCCCTTCCCCACCTTACTTAGGTATCTCCAGATTTGACTTAGATATATTTGTTGTCAAATTTCGCACTCCAGTATATATGGATTTCATTGACTTCTTAAGAGTATTTTATAGTTTAAACAAAGGTTATCTGTGAAAAATACAACAAATGCTTGCATCAGATTCTCAACATCTGGTGGCCTAATCGTATCAACAATACTAATCTTTGGGGTGTCATAAACCAAATGCCAACTTCTGAGGAATTAAGTATGCGCAAATAGCGTTAGATCGATCATACTCTTCACAGACCTCCTAACAACATTGCTCGTCAAGTACTCAGATGGAATCCCCACGGAAGTGACTGTCATGTTGGGGAGCCTGCTGGATCATGACAAATTACTGTTGAATCAGAATTGCAAGCAGCAAATTATTCTTGAAATGACATCGATCGACAGAGTTCGATAAAAAAGATGGTGAAAGCCATTTTTCCCACTAGGAGACGAGGATAATAAAAGAAGAAGATAGCTCATATTATTAAATAGGTCGATCAGAAATTTTGCTGGGTAAATAAAATTAGGGAAAGATTATGAAACTTGTGGATCATTTACGTAAACTTGTGGCTCGTTTATGTAAACTTATGGCTCATTTATGTATTTAATGCGAGAATGTTATCGCTGGTTTTTTGTCACTTCGTTCGAGTTTATGGTTCATGTAGCATGGAAAACTCACCATGCGAGAACGTTAGGATGTGATAAGAGCAACTGGCAAAAATATAAGGTTTTTGAAAGTTCCATTTAAAAGACTATTTTAAAGGTTTGCGTATTGTTTGGGGTAAGATATTCAGAATTCTTTAAAAATCATAAATTAATAAATATTGTCTCTTTTTCAGAAACAAACATGGAATATCTTGCTGCTCTTATGTTTCACGTGCATCGAAGCTATTTACGTGATTCAACTGACTCATTTCATTTGCCAAATATGCATTTTGTCGAGCTATTTCGTCTTTATAAGAAAGTAACTCTACATCTTTTGGAAGAAGTGAGTCCGTTTATGGAGATTGCGGTCAGAAATACCTATATACGGAAGCATATAAGGCTAACGGCTGCGCTGCATTTTTATGCAAGATCATTTTTACGCGACATAGAACAAAATTTTGTATGCCCAATGAGCAAATCAACATTATGCTTCATAATAAAAGAGGAAGCTTTTATTATTCAGGGTACGTTGATATGCAGAAGTATATAAGAATTTCACTTCTACAGTTGAAAAGAATACTGTTAATATGCATTTCACTAATTGATTGTGTCACACTGATTCTTTAATGCGACACACTTTCCTGGTGTTATAGGTGCTGTTGATTGTGTACGCAAGTTAAAATAAAAACCTAACTCATAACTCACCCATGCTGGAGTTACAAGATCATAAACAAACAAACCGATTCTGCAGATTTGTACCGCAAAAAAAAAAAATTAATTAATTAATTTCATAAATTTGTTTTATGTTTGTTTTTATTATGGTTGTTGTACTCAATATAATTAAAATACTAAATATGCGTAATGCAATATATATTTTTAAGTTATTATATATATTATTCTTTATGAATATATCGCGAATATTGCTGAATACAAAACAATTGACAGATTGCAACAGTGATGCCAATGTCTCGCTTAACGAATACAGGCCAGCATGTTTTTCTTACCACACTTGCGAGCCACAGAAAACCAAATATTATAATATTCAGAATGTTATATTGTATAAAGCAATTGATTAAGCAATTTGTGGTATATAGTAAACATATCCAAAATAAATATGGAATATTTGTGAATATGGCAAACACACTATTTCGTGGTGAATAAAAACATTTTATTACCTCAAGTCCACACTAAACTATTCATGTTAAAATGTGTGATGCAAATAAAAGTTATGTGCTTTTAAACGTGTAAGAGCGCCTTGTGTCTGTTTCAGAGCGATGTGTAGTTTCTACCGGGTATCTATTTATTATCGACACAACAAATATTTTCCATGCATCGAAATTAAAGAATACAAAAAATTTTTGAGTGCAAAATATAATGGCAGAAAGTTTTCGTAAGAATTTTAAACAAAAAAATGCTTTAGATTGGGAAGAAGCAGGTGGAGAGTTTTATCAAGAAACTTATAGCTCCGAATGGGAAGGGTTCCCAACTGATAATGTAATAACAACACTTCTTCCATCAAAACAAAATCGCTTGGGTAAGTTGAGATTACAACAAATTTCGAATAAACATTTTGAAATTTTGAAATATCTTTTTTATTAATTAAACAAAATACATTTAAATACGATTAATATATTAATTTTAAAATAATCCGAATAAATCAATTTTAAAATGGAAAATCAATTGTACACTTTATATATTGAGGTTTACATTTTATATTTCAGGAACTTGTAGGAGAATTCAGAGAGATTCAAAAGATACAAAACCTAATAAGTATTGGCAACCAATCCCTACAACCAAAAGAAATACATATAAAAACAATGAATTGCAAAATTCATTGCTTCCAGATTTATCAGAAGTACTTACGGATGAAGGACGAATATGGGAAGAAATTTTACAAATAAAGTTAATACCTGTGCCAATGGAACAGAAAAAGGAACTTAAGATTAAATTACAGGTATTAATTGATTTATATAATATATAGGAGAAACATGATACAACATTGTGTGAATAAATTATGAGAAGCTTACTGGCTTTCCTTATTCTAACAAGCCATTATAATCAAAGTATTATATAAAAAAAAGACATATGATACGTATATATATATATAAAATTATATATAGTGATAGCAATTTAATTGAGCCTAATACAGTTGTTGTGATATATAATAAACTCTTTCTTTTCTTATAAATACATATATATTTTATTCCATAAAGATTATGTATAATTTTAAAAAGTTCAATATTATATATTTTTGTTTATTTTCGGTTTCCAGTTTCAGTGAGGATTGAAGTTAAAAAAATATTAATAGGAATTATTACTTTTTAGATTTTAGAAAAAACGGGTTGGGAACTTGTCACTACCATAGACGAGTAGCAGTTAAGTTCTTTGGAGAGATGTTGCCTAATTCCTTTATAAGTGGATAGGCAGTAGATAAGAGTCAAAGTCTGAGTTTGGAGAGACTATCACAGTGACATAGAATGAGTTCTGCTATTTCCTCTTCTCCGCAACAAAGTCTGCAAGTATCGTTTCTAGTAATACCAAGGTTCTATAGATTGTTTTTTAATTCCACAACGCCCAATAAGAAACCCTGTGACATGTCGGATGCCACTTCTGGGTTTTGATCGATACGACATGGATTCTTTAGCTTGTCTGCAGGCATTTGTATTATCTCAATAAGAATTATTAAGCGTTAGTAAGATTAAAGCTTAGAGTAATGTAACAAAACTTTGGGTTTACATTTTCGAGTATTGTTAATGTATAAAATAGAAGGAAAACAAACAAAAAATAGCGACACAATAGACATCGTATGGTGTATTGTAAATACCTTAAAACTCACAACACTAAAAATAGTTAAAAACCAGTAATAAATGAATGTATATAGGATCTCGTAACTCCATTGCAAAGTATTATGCCCTATGCACGTTTAAAACATAGTCTCGATACAGTAGTTGAAGACTCTAATTTTAGTCAAATTATAAGAAATACGGTAGCCAAAGACATTAGCTAAATTGTACGGAGTATTAAGGAAATGCATTAACTTCATTTTGAACATTATTATCTTCTGTAATTTAATCGAAATTGAGTATTAATTTGCTACGTATCATATGTAAACAGTAGTTACCGATGACTCCTGCAGCAATGAATGGATTTTATAAATTTAAAGTGCTTAGTCAATATCAGTGAATGCAAACAAACATTAAAGTATCGAACATAGTGTACTGTTTGTCATCTTTGATAAAAAACATAAAACGAATAGTATGTTACATTAAAAAAAATCCGAGACAATTGAAAAAATTTTAAGAATTGTATAATTTTATTTTACTTTGGGAAAAGAACACTAAAAAGATCAGTACCTTCGGGAAAAGAACACTAAAAAGATCACTACCTTCGGGAAAAAAAAACACAAACAGTAAAATAAAATTTCAGAGTTTGTGTTCGCTTACACAAAAAATGTTTGATGTTTCAGATATGAGTAGTACACTACGATAATGTACTGTTTATTTTCGTTCACTGGTCAATATATTATAATAAATTCTATATTGCTTCTAAGAACAATACACATTTGCGGGCAACTAATTTAGTATGACATGCTGTCCAATCTTATATGATTGCAGACTGTTAGCAAGGTTCAACATAAAAGAGAATAAAAAAAAAGGTTTTAGTGAAGCTGATCATTGAGATTATAGTATGATTTCGAAGGATCAACATATTGAAAACATTACTGTTTTCAACTTTACTGGCAAAATGATTTTGTATAAAGAATGACATTTTTCTAATATTAATAAAATGCAAAAGGTGTAAAGGTTACTAGGAAAATTTTAGTACATGAATAAAATAATGAAAGTTAGTAGATTTTATTTATTATTAAATATTTTTATATGCCTTTGTTTTTTTTTTTAATTTTAGTTATATTATCATCGTTTTTATTTTTTGATTTACGTAAATCACAACAGGTAAATATATAAAACTTTTCTAATGTATATGTTTATGTATATGTATAAAATATTTGTCTACTTATCTTGCAGAATGCTACTAAACTCCGACTTCAAGGATTCAATCAATTCAAATGGAAACACCGTAAGATATGGCAAAGGTTAAGATTATCACTTACTGAGCTTTTCACAAAGATGCAGCTATGGCATTCATCGTTAAAGAAGATCGAAGGAAACTATGGAACAGGCATAACAAGTTATTTTTTATTTATACGTTGGCTTTTTGTGCTTAACACTGTTATGTTTGTCTTTGTTTTACTATTTCTTATTTTACCAAATATATTTTGGCTAAATAGTTCAGAACCAGAGCGCGATAATGTTTTTCCAGTTGATGATCATTATAGCTCTTCAAACGTAGTAGATATCATCAAGGGAACTGGATTATTAAAAAATACATATATATTTTATGGTGCATATTCCAATGTTAAAATGAGTGCAGAAAATTTTTATGATTTTTCTCTTGCCTACTTTTTTATTTTTGGTTTGAATTTACTTATATCTTTATTTGCAATTCTGAAAAATGCTTATCATGAGTTCAAAGATCGCATTATCTATGGTAAATGGCAGAATACAGATTTTTGTAATTTAGCCTTTAGTGGCTGGGATTTTTGTATACATAATAAGAATTCTGCACAAATCAAACATAAAGCTATTTTTAATGAAATAAAATATTTACTACTTCTTAAATATTTAGAATATAAACGTAGACATCGCACCAAAAATTATGTGATCAAACTAACATTATCCAGAATCGTTGTGAACATCATAATATTAATGCTGTTATCACTTTTTAGTTTTATGATTTATTTCCTGCTAAATATTAGCTTACAGAATCAGTTGATCGAAGAAGGACATGGTAATTCTTCATATATTTTAGAGTATTCTATTTTAAATTTTCAACACATATTCAAACATAGTTTCGATGATCACACAATATTAATGCTTTTTTTAGCTTACGCTCCTTATATTTTAATTATTTGTTCTAATCTGATATTACCGACATTTTTCAATTATTTTTCTAAATTTGAAAAATATTCACCATTATATACTGTCAAAATAAATCTGTTAAGAATATCACTATTGAGATTCGTCTCTTTAGCAATTTTATTAAGTCAATTTTACTTAATAGTCTCCACGCCAAACGGTAATTATGCAAAGGATGAACATGGTTGCTGGGAAACTTTTGTAGGTTGCCAATTCTATAAACTAATCTTAACTGATTTTATATGTCATGTACTTCTCACGTTTTGTATTAATTTTCCACGTGCGTTATGTGCGAAAAATGTAAAGCATGATATCATAACACATTTCGGAGAACAAGATTTTGATTTGCCAAAACATATTTTAGATGTAGTATATATGCAAACTATTTGTTGGCTTAGTAGCTTTTTTGCACCCGTTATACATGCTGTCTTAGCGATTGCTATGTTTTTCATGTTTTATATAAAAAAGTTTCAGTGTTTAGTTAATTCTAATCCGTCTAAACTGCTATATGGTAGTACACGATGTAAATCAATATCTTTAATTGTTTTATTATTATCGTATTTAATAGTATTATTGCCTGTTATATATGTAATAGCAGTAGTAACACCCTCCAGTTCTTGTGGACCATTTGGTGGACTGCAATTTGTATGGGATGCACCAATGACGGTATTTTTAAAAATGCCACAATTCTTAAAAGATATTCTACTCTTTTTAGGAACAGCCAAATTTGCGATACCAAGTTTAATATTACTTCTATTTTGTGCCTATTATTTCTATGCAGTGTCCGAAGCAAATAAAAAATTAGTAAATATATTAAGAAATCAACTTGTTTTGGAAGGCCACGATAAACAATTTTTATTAACTCGTTTAAGTGTTTTTTTAAAGCAACAGCATAATTCGCACGAACAAAATTTAAAACCGGATGAATGTAAAACATAATTTAAAATATAATTACACACATAAAATATTCTATATGATTTTAGATAAAGTAAAAGTTTTTAATATATATAATAATTCTGTATATGAAACATTATGTTCAACATTTCAAGATATTAATAAAATTTACTTTAAAATCAAAACTGTGTACAATTTCAATTCTTTTATTTTGTTGGTATTTTTAATCACTGAAATATATGCATTGTGGATAGCATATTCAAGAAGTCAACTGTTTCAACTTAAGCAAAACCTACTTGATACTATGGTATCGTTGCTGACCATTCATCGAAGTTATGCAATGAGACTTAGTCAATCCTATAACAACTTTTGTCAAGGTTATGGTTCTGCAGAGACGAAAGAAACTAAGTTTCACCTTATATGTCAGTGTCTTTTTTCGACCAGTAGCTTAAGTTAGGTTATACCGGCGATAGCAGGGAATCTACTTAGGCCTACATGCCCATTGTGTTAACATATAATTAAATTGTTAACCAGTAAAAGTTTGGTTAACTTTTACTTAAACGCCTGTTACAACTTTGTCCATGTGCTTTTGTTCTGGTTCTTTTGGTCTGACGTAGGAATATTATGATGTTGCAGCCTTTACTGCTACTCGTACTGAAAACGAATCTGCAAATTTGGGCCTTAGCAGTGAATGAGGGCAAAACAAAATATATATGTCGAATACTGTTAGAAATATGATTTATTCGAACGTCGCATTGGTAGCTTGCGCTTATATTTGCGAATATGTCAAGAAGATTATATACCTTGGCTCTGCCGTAACAAACAACGATTTCAGCTTGGAGATCAGACAAACAATCATCATTGCCAATAGAAGCTCATATGGCGTAGTAGGCAATTGGGATACAGAACTCTCTCTCGACAGACAAAACTTATGCTCTATCGCTCATGCTATCAATACTACTGTATGCCGCAGAAGAATCTGCGTTATCACATAATGATGAAACTGCCGTAGGAGTTTTCGAGAGAAAAGTTCTTTGTAAGTTCTTTGAATTCTACGAGTTAACGACGACTACCGCATCGAAATGAACCACAATCTTTATAAAGACATTAATATAATTCTGCGAATTAACATCCAGCTGATAAGTTTACATATTCTTTTAATCATCCAAAGTAAAAGATCTGTCCATAAAGTTTCTTTAGTTAAACCCGTTTTGTCTTAAAGCATGGGGTGTGTTTTGATAAGTTTTCGTCATTCAAGCCGATTTCTGAAAGTATTTTCTTGTTCCTATTTTTTATCTTCGCTACGCTATCTGAAAGAAGTTCATCTCAATAGCTTCGATTCTGCTGAAATCCATTTTTCCAATAGATCTTCATTAAGCTCCATATAACAAAATACTTCTATGACTATTTGGTACACTTACATTCTCGTTCCTGATTTTTTTCTGGTTTGTCTAAGATTGTAAACATGGATGAAATGTGTACTGATATTAAAGAATGTTTGTTTTTCGCACTCGGTTCAAAACTCGGTGTATTTTACCGCTCTTTTGAAATATTATGCCCAAGTAACTAAATAATTTGTCATGTTTTAATTTTAGTTATATCAATATTAATTTCATCATTTTTCACTATACATTGAACATTATTTATTTATTATTAAAATTTTGTAAAATTATGTACATAAAATAATTTGATTATTCATATATTTCATTTGGAATGCTTAGAGCTTTGTACTGATAAACGAATTTGTTCTGCTAGCCATTGAATTCCTTCTTCAAGCCCTACCCCTGAAATTGCTTCACTTGAACTAATGTACCATGGATTATTATTAATCTCATTTAAACCCAACACTGAAATAACCGTTAATAGTTTAATATTTTTTACTTCATAATATAGAAATCGGTAGTACCAGTCGCAATTTTGGAACTTGACATTGCATCTTCAGAGTTTTGTTTATTAGCAAATAATAGTATTGGAATTTTTCGATTTTCCAAGTGTGGATGATTTAAAAATAAATTTATTTCATCTCTTATAACAACTAGAAATGAAATATATATATATTTAATTTTAATATTTATTTAATATTGTAACTTTATAATATATTCATACTCATCCTCATTTTATCACTGGAGTCTATCACGTATACAATACCCTGACAATTTTTAAAATGATGTTCCCATAAATTCCTATGTCTCCTTGCCCCAGATGTATCAATGATTGTGAAATGTACTCCTTGATCTATTAAAATTTTATTATACTTATTTAAATTTTAAAGACAACTTGTAGACTAGACGTATGCCTAGAGATAGATATTCAGTTTTTAGATTGTACTCGTACTCTTACTTACTCTGAAACTGTTCAATTGTGAAACCTACTGTTGGAACTGTTATAGTAGTTTGCTCGTTTAAACTCTTAAAATGATTTATAATGGTTGATTTTCCTCCACCATTAAGGCCTATAACTAATATTGTCATTTTTTCCTTCTTTATCTTTAAAATATTTGCTAATTTATCGAACATACTTATATGCTTTTAGTAACTAAAATATATTTTGATTACTTTACAACAAATATTAGTTGATACAATTTAAAAAACTTACATTCGAATTTAGTTACGTAAATAGAAAATAAAATAGTAATTTCTACTACAAAAACTACAAGTTTAGATATATATGCCAATAATGAATCAAATATTTTCTTAATGCATATTGATTTTATGGGTTTGAAAGTTGCTATGCAACAAACAAAATATATAACAAACCTTAAGTTTATAATTTTGTGGTTACCATACTTGCTTTAATTGAAGCATTATATCAAAGAAGATTTTGTATAACATATATTATATCAAAGAAGAAGATATTCTCTGTATTATATATTTATAATGAATAAAAAAATAAATAACTATCAAGTAACATTCAATATACATAATGTAATAGGACTGTCCGGCATGTAATGAATATTTAAAAACTTTATAAATTAAGTACTAGACGTAAAAAAAAGTTATTCAAGTAAGATTCAATATATATATACAATATAAGACTGTTTGAAATGTAATGAATACTTTAATAACGTTTGCGAAAGTTAATATACTAATATTTGCCTATCATAACTAGCCTACGAAAATGAAAAACTCGTGTCATAGTCCATAATAAGATGATCCGGGATGTAATGAATACTTTAATAATGTTTGCGAAAGTTACTATACAAACACTTGCCTATCATAACTAGCTTACGAAAATGAAAATCCCGCGTCATAGTCCATATTGTTAATGAGACATTATAGGCTATCATGAATAAAATCGAATCACAATTCATTAGGGCACCATTTGTTAGTTTAGGTTATGCCAGCGATCCCAAGGGGATTCACATAGACCTATAGGCTCATTCTGCTACCGTATTATTAAAAATACAAGGGTTAGAACCATCTAGAAACTTTAAAAATACAGATATTAAGTTGTACGTCAGTCAATCTCAGGCTGAAATTCTTGAATGTTCCGATAAATCACAAATCTAATTTGCTTTTACAACAAATCAAAATGCTTAAAAATGTATTCTTCAAGCAACTCATGAGATCAGTGTCCATGCGTATTTTACCTTTCTTGTGAACGATGAAACTCCGAAAGAATTTCTAAGGAACACTTGGTTGACGATGACAACTGGCTTCATAACTTAGATCTAGATGCACTAAACTGTAGTGTTGTGTTCTTCTCTTTTTGCAATTTAACGACACTTAAACAGTTGGTAATTAAATTGTCAACTAACGTAACTTTTTACTATGTTATATGTTTCGTAAATTATCACACACATTAATTTAGTAAAAATGGAGTTGCTAGCCATGAGTATCATTTTTGTTGTGTCTATTTTTAAGTTTTATTTAAAAGACTCAAAGACTATCTATCAGTCTCCGATGCATCATATAAAAAAGAAACAGTTTTGTTAAAAAATACAATAAAATAAATTTATCGACTGTATTTGAAATCATTGTCCCATGACATTGCCCATATTGTGGATAAGTCCACAATAACTCCAATCTTTGAAGTAAGATCTGATGTGTTAACTGTTCGTTACAAGCAGCCTTTAATTGTGAAAAGTATTAAAATCTTCCAGCTCCAAGATGTAGTTTCCATTATATTTTTTTATGTTTTAAAATTATTTATTTAAAAAAACAAAATTTGACTTAGTTTCTTAAATTGTATTAGTTGTATTTCAGTTTAAAACTCTAAAATTCTTAAAACAAATGAAACAAACTAATGTGTATGCTTGCGCACAATGGATCTTTAAAGTCGGATTGCATTCATAGCCTATTATATTATAAAACCCTCAACCCGACTAGCGAAGCACTGTAGCATTTTCACGAAAATGTTTGTACTATCTGTTTTGGGATTATATGTTTGGCAGGAATAGTTATATTGGAAATGGCAGCTTATGAGCTATTATGTCTCTAGATATCTGTGCATGTATTGGTTAACCTGAAATGACTTTCTCCGAGTTGTAAGCGTAGTACATGTAGGCAATTATTACTACCTACAACTGTTGCCTCTATATATTATTGTACAGACAATAAATGCAAAAAGTAATAAAATAAAATTTGTAGATCTAACGTAATACAACCCATCTTGAATTCGATACTGATACATGTTTTTATGAAACTGCTAATAAAATAACTTTGATAAACGTCCAATAGCATTTTGTATAGCAAAATAATTTTGATTTTCTGTCATACGTTAAATTAAAAAATATTTATATTTATTATATTGTATTATTATTCGACTATTTTACAAATTTAGTTATGTAATAAATTAATAGTAAAAAATAGTTAAGTTATAATAATATTAGTATTATGAAGTACAAAACATTAATATTGACGAATATGTTTTACACATGTCCATGCAGAGAAGTGGTATTAGAGTACACATGATTATTAACAGAATTATTTGAGTCTTCAATTATTTTGAGTGGTTTATCGGTAATTATACTTCCCAAAGAGTCGGCATTGCTAATGGAACTTGAATTTGATTGAATCAATTCCATCGATTTTGATATTACCCCATCCCTGCTCGTGCAACTATTTTCATCAAGTATTTGAGAAATGCAGGGGTCAGAAGCTTTTGAAGTATTTTGGTATGTTTCGGTTGACATAACTTCATATCCGTCTTCATTTTTACCTGTTGATGAGATAACAGTAGGTGGTTCCTGTATATCGATTTTCGAAGAATGTAAATTACTTTGATTGGGATTGTGTAACACAAACAAATTTTGTTGCGATTGTTGTGGAGGAAATAATTTTGTGTACCTTTGACGAATTGAATCAACAACATCGAGTAAATTTTTGGCGTTCATTGCTAAAATATGTGCTGCTGACAACATACTTCTATATCACGTAAAAAAAATATATTTTATTATAAATATAATTTTATTAAAATATATCTACTTACTTTCTGTATTCATTATCTAAAGTTGTGTCACTATATTGTTGAGCAAGCCGCATTGCAGCAACTAGTTCATGCATGTCTTTTGAAAGTACTTTATGTGCCATTTCCACTTCTCTGTAAGTATATGATTTTTGTTTTTTACTGAACTTAAAAAATTGTTAAATTTTATTACCTGTGTGCTTCAGCGGGGAACACATATGATAATTTGTCAACAGATTTAAGTAGATTTCTCAATTCGAAACCCACAGTTTTCACTAAGTCTAAATAGCTTTGAGCATTGGATTTTTCTACACCTTGCGATAACATCATAATTGCTTTCACTACGCTCGTAGTTGCGACATAAACTTCATCATTGTTTCGGTCTATATGCCGTCCAGCTTTATCACTTGTATCACTATTTGACATTTGATTATTACCGTCTAACAATATTCAAAGTGAAAAAAAGTTAAAACCTTTTAAATATATGTGAGCTCGTATATACCCCACCTTTTTTCTTTTTAAATTGAATACAATCGGGTAGACTTGACGGACCAGACGCTAAAGAATCATTATCAGAAGAATTTAAAATATTCAAACTGAAACGTTTCTCCTAGAAAGAAATGAATATGTCAAGCGATGCAATTTTATAAAAATAAAGAAAAAAAACAGTTTATTACATATAGATAATATATATATATCGTATATATACGATATATATAGATATATGATATATACAGATATATGATATATACAGATATATGATATATATATATGATATATATATATATATATGATATATATATATATATGATATATATATATATATAATATATATAGATATGTGATATAAAATATGAATGATCTACATATACTAGATTCTCGGAAGCTGCAGAACAGAGACTAAAAATATGACTGACGAACTGGTTCAAAAAGGCTCTCATCAACATTTATACAAAGATATAAACATATAAAATAATTGGGAATGTTTTTTAATAGAAAAAATTAGACATGCCAGCTATTGTGAAAGAACTGGAGAAAAATGTGAAAGGCACATCACCACAACTTTAGCTTTATCGAAAAATAGAACTCAGGTTAAAAAAATTTTGGTGCACGTGATGTCTCTATAGCTTTTGGAAATGATCTAATATCGTAGACGCAAAGCCATCGGTAATAAATAATCTTAATACACAGATTTGTACGGTAAGTTAATATTTTTCCCACAACCATACAAAATACACTCGCCAAGTTTCTTAGGAACCACAGAGATTAAACGATGTCTGTGGTATGTGTGATGTTATGGTCACATTATTGTATGTATGTATATAAGTTTTTTGAATTATAATATATTACCATATTTTCTGCGCCTTTGATTGATCCGGTCCATTTAGAATCCTCAATTCTCTTTTTATATGCATGTTGATTATAAAAAGATATATTTTCGGATGCTCTCTATGGGAAAAATGGGAAAAAATGTTTTAGTTTTAACTAAAAAACAAAGTAGAAATAAAAAAGAAATCTTAAAACTTAAAAATAATATTCATAATTAAGGTGAATGGTGATAATTTAAAGGCTGTACAAATAAAAGATTAACGTACCGGAGCCACTCGTCTCTTTAGACGACCACTTACTGCTCCCAACTTGGTTATGAGAAGATCAAAAATTTTAAAAACAAAAAACAAAAATTGAAGATAATTTTTTCGAAGATTTGCTTAATTTACAAAATTTTTCTATTTGTACAGCTCCTTTACATTTACATTAAATATATCTAAAAAAAAACAAAAAAAGAAATACAAAATGCAAACGTAAAATCTACAAATAAAAAACTGCTAATTGTGATTGACTTGTTCAATCAGTTCATCATATCAACTACTTTTAAATACTTTGAACAAAACGTACACTTTCGAACTTAAAGAAATAAAAATGAACTGAAAAAGCTAGAATTCAAAGGGCCTTTTGTTCAAACCTGAGTGTCGTTATGTTGAAATGTTGCCACTGTTGGTTGATGTTGAGGATCAGATACTACCTCATTAAAAGGGTAATTATTATAATTTTGTATTTCATTAATTGGATGACTTCCCGTTGTGCATGGCGCCATTGGTGTGTATGTTGTGTTCTTTGAAAAATTTTCGCAATTCAAATTTGGTATTGGCGACTCTTGAACAACTGCTGTACAGACTCCTTTATTAATAGCAGGGTCTGGTAAATTTCTTCCAAAATCATAGATATCTTCTCTTAAAGGTTCTTCTTCTAATTTCAATTGATTGCGGCGCATATTATAAAAAGTTTTTCTTTCGTAATTACCTGGTTGCATCATAAATCTCATAACACTATTGTGTGTAATTGAACGTTCTAAGCTACTACTGCGCTTTACACGATTTCTCATCATTTCATAAGAATCCGATAATTTTTGATTACGTTCGAGGCTACCACCTTTTTGTTGCATGAAATTCATTGCCTTTACTATATGTGGTTCTTGGTTTCTTTCTAAACTACCACAAATTGGTTGTTCTGTGTGATGATAATATTGTTCTGATAGAATTATAGAACCATTGTTAGGATATGTCATAAACTGTGTAGAATTTAGAAGATGCATGGGAACACTTGCTAAGTTGTCTTGATTAAAATGTGTTGGAATTCTTTGGCTAAGCATATGATTTGGATTTGTATTACATATAGCAATATTATTTGCATCATTTTGGTTGAGTGTACCGATTTGTGATGAATGAATCTTTTCTAAACTACCTGCACCTATATTAGCTTTTTGTATGTTAACAGATGCTGTTGCATTAGGGTATGTCTCATATTTATTACAATTAGAAAAAACTTTAGGTATCTGATTTGTATCTGATTTTTTTGTTTGCATTTTTGTCTCAATAGATTCATCTAATGGTTTAATTGGCTGATTTGCATTTGCAATTGGATCTAGTTTAAGCAATTCAATTGCTGGAAGCTTAAATGTCTTTAGCGCAATATCTTTGCTATTTGTTAGATTACTTGATTTAGTTTTATCTATTTCTACAGCTAATGTATTAAATACCGATGCTGGAGTAGTATATGCTGCGGGATTAATGCTACGGTTTTCGTTATCCATCATTAATCTAGCCAAGATCTCAGGATTTTGTGCTATTATATAGGTTTGAGGACTTAATTGATTTTCGATAGAATTAGGTCCGATTGCGGTCATTTCTGAAAAAAAAAATTAATTATATATTAAATTTAATATATTTAATTTTAAAATAACAAACCTCCTTCATGTTGATTTCTACTTGGTTTTAATGGTGGTATCTCTAAATCACAACCACCCCAAGATATTGCAGCTACTCTTCGGTTCTCCCTGCGCATCACTTCTGAATCATTTCGACGCTCTTCTGATAAGATTTCACTAGAGTTAAAGTCAATTAGTTGCAATTAGTTATATGCTTCTATCAAATAATCTAACTCGACTAGATTTTCTTTGCGGAAAAACAATGTAATTTTTTCATTATTTTTTTGATTTCATTATAAAATTTAAATTCAATTAAACAAACTAAACCTTTTCATTTCTAAACTTCGGAAATCATGTGATTTTTTATATATACTAGCATTTTGGAGCCATATGCTTTAGGCCAATATCTCCTCGTTTCTTCTTTTTTTTCACTTAATCAATCTGTTCTACTTTTTTATTGATTACGAAATTCAAAACTCATTACCAGCAATTTTTAACATATAATGATTATCAATAAATAATGAATTCAAAGTTAGTGATATCGTTGAAAAATATTATTACCGAGCTGCTTGTTTGAATTAAACACCAGTTCAAATTCTGTTCTAATCTATCATGGGATCATGTCAGTTGCACACAGCAGACATACACACTCAACCATAAACAAGTATAAAGATAAAAGGTAGGCATTGGACTAGTATATTAATAGGGTGAGTTAGCTAATGAAGTAAGCAAAGCGGTTGTGGGTTGTATATATGGAGTCCAACATAGTGCAGAGATTGAGTGAGTATTTCGCTTAAATGTTATTGTACACCAATATGGATTGAGTTAGATCACAACCATTATCTCGAAGATACTGCCTTGATTTAGAGGGCAGAAAGCCCTTGTGTAAAACAGAACTCACTGATGTTAATTCAATTACTGTAGGAGTTGATGTATTCATGATACGAAGAACGTGATCGACGTATGGCTAATGAAAAGAGACCTAAATTCATTCTGACGTCAGTTGGATATCTAGAGAAATTGTTTTGACAGTAGCTGTCATACGACTACAAATACCGTTCACATGTACAGAGAATATAAGTATACTGCCAAGTTAGAAACTCGGGAAACTTGTAGTTGTTGTTGGTGAGTATTCTAAATTCACTAAGCGAAATGGTACCCAGGGTCTTCTTTTTAGTTTGGGAAGTAAAGAGTTTGTCCAAAGATTTGAAATATAGGTAAAGATATCTATCCCCAAAATGTTTAACCACTTAAGAAACAAATGCATTGGCGAGGAGCACTGTACAAAAAACTCTGCCCTGTAGACCAAGTCGTGAACCATAATGTGTTAAAGATTTTAGCGAGATGAAAGCAAACCAGTACTTTGGCGCTTTGGATTCTTTGACGCTTTATAAAACCATGTTAAAGGTGAATAAGTGGCGATGATTGTTTAAGAAGCAAGGACTTCATAACTTTGGTTACTGGAGATAGCATAGAGATCGGCTTATACCATTACCCCTATACTGCCAATTTACTCTGCTTCAACAAGGGTATTATTTTGTCAATTTTTGATGTATTGGAATGAATTAAGACTTAACTACCAAGAGGTCTGAGATGCTTGAACATAACCATAGATATGGCGTCTAAGCTAAGTAAAATATTTAAAAACTGAACTAAGACCTAACTACCAAGAGATCTGAGATGCTTAAATATAATCATAGATATGCCATCAGTGCTCAATACATTTGTAGCCTTAGTCATTATTGCCTCATATTCATATCATTAATGTGGTGTCATAGAAATGCAATCTATCATTTTGTGGATACCAAGTCCGCCTTTAGAAAGACAATACAGAAAAAATGCCAAACCCACGTTTAGAATTATTCGATTAAAAATTCTATTTGCCGGTTTGATAATTCTGAGAGTTTTTTAACAACCTCTACAAAAGCTTTGACGAAAGGGATGGAGATGGTTATGGGAGTGTGATCAGAGCTTCAACATCAGACGAGCTTAAACAATTAGGCATTATACTAAAAGGTAACTTTTTATTAATTAAAAATAAGGTATTAGATTGGGAAACTGCAGATGGTGGTTGGCATTCAATTATTCAATAAGAGACGGTAGCCTCTATCAAGAAAGTGAGAGCACTATTACTGCGGAGGGCACTAATAGTGCTTTTTCCTAAAACCGTTACAGTTGAAATGGTCTCAGGTGGATTAATGGGTAGACGTTGGCTAATAAGTTCGAGTTCCAAGCACTGTGTGATGCCAATCCAGAACAAGATCTAAGATGATAAAAAAATGGATTGGCAGTACGGGTTTTTCATGTAATACTGTGCAGTAATAATAAAAAAGAGGGAAAAAAAGAGTCATAATTCAAAAGGTATAACTATATTTTGTAAATAAATAAAATGACTTAATGATCCATACAGCGTAAGAAAAGATATTCAAAATATTGTATGACGAAATGCAACTATAGTAGTAGAAGCAATTGTCTCGCCAATGTTAAGTTAATAATAAACACTAAAACTATTATATATTCACTTTATATACTTACAAAAGAGTTTCCTTGATTCTTTTAAAATTTGGTCTTTTAGTTGGTTCAAACATCCAGCATTGGGACATAAGCGAATATAAACGAGGAGGACAATTATTCGGCAGTGGTAAACGTTCCCCATTTTCTAATTTAGTAATAACGTCATTGTTCTTAATACCATGAAATGGTTTAACGCCTAGCATCAATATTTCCCAACAACAAACTCCTGTTAATTAAATATTTAAAACGGCACATTTCAGATAAATACTTAATGCTAAACTTACCAAACATCCAAACATCACTTGCTGTTGTAAACCTACGAAAATTAATTGATTCTGGTGCCATCCATTTAATTGGAAGTTTACACATACTCGAGTGATAGTATGATTGATCAGATACCCAACGTGAAAGACCAAAGTCAGCAAGCTTTGAAAATATTTAAAATTTTTTCAAATTCAAGTATGTTTATATTGTAATAATGAAAATAAAATTTATTTGAATTATATAAAATAATTTTATCAAACAATAACATATCAAAATTATTAGTCTAATATTTCGGCCTACAAAATTTACCTTAATACATGTTGGTGAACTGACTAAAACATTCCGGGCTGCAATATCTCTATGAACAAACTTCTTAGATTCCAAATAGCTTAAAGCTGTTGACAGTTGATAGCAATATAATATTAAAGTTTCTCTCTTCATTCTATAAAGATAAAAGAAAAAAATGCGTTTTTATCCAAGTTCAGATCCATACTTCTTCGTTGAAGTAACTAATTGGCAAAGAATCTGCCGTACTCCTAATAAAATTTGGAAATATAAAGATTTAAGTAATGTTCGAACCATTCAGCATTGGCGTGATCTTGAAGGAGCACAAATGCAAATTGTGGAGAAAAAGGATTTATACTTTAAAGAGTGGATGCTATCAAGAATCAGGCCGGAAGCTTGTTTACCAATATACTATTGTACTGGAAATCGCTTCATTAGATTAGAAAAAGCATTTCCTGCTGGTTTTAAGTGCGCTCCGCTACCAATTAATCTTGAAGCAGCACGAGAAGTGAAAAGAAAAATCGACGGTATTTATACATTATTAAATCAATTTTTTATAAAAAAATTATATCAAATTGTTATTGATATAAAATACAGTGGATATAATTATATTAGTTCAAATGTGAAAATTTCTCTGATTGGTTTCCCTATTAATCTGCTATTTTAAAATAGCTTACGTTCTTTCGCTTGCGTTCAAGCTAATGTAAACTTTTATGTTGTATGTATTAAACATATTAAATAAGGCTTTGAACAGAACATTTTTTCCATGGCCAAAATTGGTAAAATATTATCCTTAGAGAGAAAACAATTAAAAATTAATATTTTTATTGATTTGTTAACAAATTATTTTACTATTACATATTGTTGACAGAAGAATAGTATCAGATTTTTCATTTCCATTGGAAATTTATGTTTCTTTAACACTTATAAATGTTACAAGATAGTTGTTTCAATGTATTAACTTTGCTATACTGATTTCTTCCACATTATTGATTTTAAATCATTGCCATATATGTAATTTATAGATGTAGAAAATGTCAAATATTTTTTAATAATAAAAAATCATTTTTACTATTGTTTAGAAGCAAAGAAGGCAGCAAGAAAAGCTGCAAAGGAGGCAAAGAAAAAGAATAAAAAAGACAAGAAGGGCAAAAAGGGGAAAAAATAATTAGATCAACGTAAGAATTACATAGAGGAAGGCTTACCTTTCACTATTAGTTTTAAGATAAGATCGCAATTCACCAAGTTTCGCTAACTCCATAACGATCCAGATCGGAGAGGAGCTGCAGATACCAATAAGACGAATTATATGAGGATGATCAAACTTCTGCATAATATCTAATGTACAAAAAAAAAAATAATTATGAAAGAGTGGTAAGTTTCTATAATTTTATTGATTTACATGCTTCCTCTAAGAAATGATCTGAATTTTCAGACTCTTCAGTGGTTTTACAAGTTTTTACTGCTACTTGTATTACTGTCGATAATTTGGTATCAATGATGTCATTTTTATTTTTTAAGTTTTGCATCTTTTTGCCACTATTTTTTATATGGAATGTGCCAATATGAACATCGCCGAATTGCCCAACACCAATTACATCATTCAACGTAATTTGATTCCGATCCAATTCATAATTTCGAACTAAATGTGAAAAAGTATATTATTATAGTTTCGATAAATAAATTACATAATTACGCTAATAATCAAAATAATAAAATTAAAATATTTTATCTATTTTTTTTAAGTATTAGTGGTAAGTAATTACATATATACATATAAATGAAAGTAAATGGACAAACCAGTAGGAGTTGAATAATCTCCCTCTTCTTCAACTAAACCAATTTCTGCATAGTCTTCGGATAATTCTGGCTTCTTAGTCGATTTTTTATCTGAACCGCTTGAATTTATAGTATTTTTACTACTATTATCGATATCATCAATACCAGTTGATAAATTCTCTAAGCAATTGGTTTCATTTAGGTTTCCTATTTTTGACTGGTATGGCTGCCAAACTTTATATTCCAAATTGTTGCTAATTAAACGGCAGTAACCATCAATAAGATCCGCAATGCTGTCAGCAGTCTGAAAGAAAAATAAATTTTTATATTTAACTGGATTTTTTTTCTTTTTGTTTTTAATAATCACCGTAAGACCATCACAAGTAACAATTAAATCCTCATCATTACTAAATGTTGTGATTCGTATTTGAATTTTTAACTCACGACAATTACATCTTATATCAGTGGCTTCAATAGAAGTGGAAGAATCATTTGTTGGATTTTCTTTGGGTAGAGTATATGTTGTTATCATTTTAATATCAGTGAAAAATGCAACCATTGTTATGCTTGCTTGAGGATGAGTTTGGTACGAGATTCCTATAAACAGTGTATATTATTGTATATTAGATTCTCAATAAAAAAACATGCTTAATATATACCAATATCGTAGCCAACGTAAAATATTCCCGATATATTCCAAGCTGAGCTTAATGTCACGGCAAATTTTTCATAATTATAATTGTATAATGTACTAACAAGTTCAAAGAATCTAAAAATATAAAAAATATAAAAAAACATTAGTCTACTTTTATAAATTAATACAATTATATTATATTAAGGATCTAGACTCCCAATAGAGCAAATATGGTGACCACAATTGATAATTATAGCAGATATTACGTGCTATAAAATACGGAAGGTTCTACGTCCTAGCGCCACTCGTCAATCTTGATGAATAAATACCGTTCACCACCCCCTAAATGGATGTTACAAGCAGATTCCTGTGGGTTACCACAACAACAACAATAGTTACAATAATCAATATAATCAAAATAGCTTGTTTGTAGTAATCAATTATTATAAAAAAATTTTAAAAATTGTAATGTGTTATTATTATATATAATTTACAATAAATTTTTCTTTTTACTGTAAACTAAGCATATAACTGATTTTTCACATGCATCTGTGCATATGTTTATTAAAATGAAAGATGACATTCTATAAAGAATAAAGGTGCTACAAAACTTCAAAAAAAAATAATAATAGCACGGGAAAAGTAGCTGTAGTTTGTGTAGTATGACCATCTCCAAATAATGTTTGCGTGTGGAAGATGAGATACAACGTGTACGATAAGTTAATAAAGTATAAAGTATAATTTATTCTTACTTTGTAATATACTCCTGTTCACTATAATTATACAACTTCTTGTATGTGGACTGTATCATTTTTTTAAGATTCTTTGGCTTTATTGAATGTATCACAGCTTTCGGAAAAAATAGATTTAGACCAACTTCTTTTTCGACAAAGTCAACATGTTGCTTCCTATCCATAGACTTCGTTACATTAGTTTTTAAATAATAACGAATGCAAAAACAACCAATTTGTGTAGCCACTTCAATATCAGCAGATATATTTGATTCAATATAATCCTGATGTATCTAAAAAGAACAAAATAAATATTAATAATACTTAGATCAGTAATAACATTTTTATTTATTTATTTACCTGATCAAATAAGTTGTAGCAAGTTATGATGTCTTCTTTATATAGAGTATTTATATTACTTGGAATATACCTTACACGCAACTCAACCCGCCACACGCTATTTGAAATATATTTACCAACCTTTTGCTGTTGATTACCTAATTGTGCATAGTTGGGACATTGAACGTTCGTGCAATTCGCATTCCAAATATAAGCAAGCACATCCGTCATACATTTTGTTCGAGTAAGCCATATTTTTTCATTTGTTATCAAATTATTTAACCGAAGTGCATAATATAATGTGTTCACGTTATTGCCAGCATATGAAGTGCGGATTGTTTCCTCGATGATATTGCGTACGGTGTTATTTTCGTTAAAAACAATTGATCGAGAAGTTTTGTTCGGTAAGTAAACATGCAGAACGGAATCATTATGTACACCTGAAATAAATATATAAAATTTTAAATGAATTTTACTTTATTGTATATATTTATGATAACATAAAGAGTAAACTATACATATTTATAAATATATATAATTATATATGAGCTAAAATATTTACCTTCATTGTTGGTAAAAGAGTTAGGCGATTGCCCTGTATATAAATGTGGATTTGACATGGAACACCCTTTTTCTGCAAAGATAACATTTATATTTATATTTGTAAATTGATCATTTAAATGAATAGTAAATGCATTGTTACCCACTTTTCTTATAGCATATTAGTATCCATATTTATCGATCCTTTTGTTGACAATGAATGTTGATTTGAATCATACATACGGTAAGATGAGTTAACATAAATTAAATTAATTAATAAATCAGTTAATTTTATAAATATTTAATATTAACATAAATCCAAAATTTAATTTTTAATAATTAATCTTTAGTAGATATTTAATAATTAAATATAATCAACTGTAAACAGTGATAAATTTGCATTCCGGCTAATATAATACATATTTTACATTAAGTTGTAAATATAGAAATTCAGACTATATATAAGCTATTATGTAATATTACTTGTATATATACAATAAGCATTTTTAAATATTGGATTAATATTTCTAAATATTAATATATTAGAAGAATATATAATACATAGATTATTTGCAATACGTTAACTTGGCATAAAATTATTTATTATTTTATGCACTTTTTTAAAAACATAACACAATGTTTTTGTAATATATCCATATTCCATATGTATTCAACAAAAATAATAAAAGCAATTAGATATTAGTTATGTCATTTAAAAATAAAATGGCAATATTTTGTTCGACCATATTCGATTATGAATAATTTTTTACATTTGTGTTGTGTAATTATATAAATATAAGCTAAAAAATTTGAACTCAGTATAATATGTAAAAATAAAAAACAACCTACAATATTAATGTAACTTCTCAGCATTTAATATTTTTAAAACAATATTTTCATTTTTACCTCACTTAAGGTGTTTACGCCTCATTTGTTCGTGCATATTTTTTACACATATATTTGTGAAAATGAACTTAAATTCTAAGCTCTGAATAAATATATTATAAAATCGATTATTATTTAACACTATATAATTAAAATTAGTTTGAAATGTATTTAAAAATAATAATATTTATATGAAAAATAACCCGACACAAGTTACTGCATTTATTTAATAACAACTCTGCTGAATCGATTATTACAAGATTTAAAGGGAATAGTGGTACGTTGGAACAAATCAGCAACATCAGTTCAAATTTTTTGTCAGTGGTGATATTTATCTACGAGATTATCAAATTTCACCAATCTTGACGTATAAATCAAATATCAAATTTCACTCCATATGACATAAAATTAACACAGAGCCAATAAGAAAATGTATAAATTTTAATTATGGTGAATAAATGTTGTTCAATTTTAATAAGTATTGTTTGTGTACATATATAATTGAGAATGAATAACAAAACATATTAGTGTTATATGCTGTTCAGACACACCTTAGTTTCGTAAAAATCTTAGTTTCATCTTCGTTTCAGCGAAACTAAGTTGTTTTTTCCATACACAACTTAGTTTCAATGTCAAAACGAAACTAAGGAAAATAGCCTTAATTTCGCTGAAACGAAGCATGAAACTAAGGGAATTTTCAAATGCAACTATGTTAAAAACAAATTTTAAGCAAAAGATAAAATTGAGATAACGAAAAAGTGACATGTATTTTTAAAAACAGCTGACTTTAACAAAACCGGGAAAATATTTTGAATAAAATTTAAACAGTTAAGAATTGGCGATGGAGAAGAAGAGTTATAAAAAAAGGTACGGTTGGACCCAAGCAGCAGAAAATGCACTTTTGGAGGTTTGGGAGTGCAATATGGAAGGCTTTCGTGGTGCACGCAAGAACGGACATGTGCATAAAGAAATCAGCGATGCATTAAATCAACTCGGGTTTATGCACAACCCCAAAGAAGTGCAAACGAAAATAAATAACATGACCTCAAAATTCAGGTATTTGGAATTAACGTAATGAAGATAATAATAATATTTAATTTTTAATTTAAAGAAAGGAAAATTGCAAAATTGGCCCTTCTGGTGGTTCACCCTCTAGATGGGTCTATTATGAACGGGTGAAAAAAATAATAGGTGGCTTCAAAAGTGAAAACATCAAACAACTTCAAATAGAAAGTATTGATGGTAAATAAATATTAAAAAATAAATTATTCATGCAATCTGTTATTTATTTGTTATTTTTATTATGTTTATCTTTAATGTTTAACGGTTTTTCCAATATTTTAGATGCAGACTTTCATGAGGAATATCTGGAGGAGGAAATGGCGATGTCATCATCCCCTATGTCAACATTATTGCCACCAATATTATCAGAAGTGCCTACCACCTCATCATCGACTGCAATATCATCACCACAGCCTAAAAGAAGAAAACGATTGAATTATTTTCAGGAAGAGGTATTAAATACCTTGAAAAATTCATATGAAAAATTATCAAGTTCTTTAGAATCAATAAAGCAAACTGAAAGAGAGTTGCTTCAAGAATCAAAAAAAAAAACTGAAGAACTTCATGAATTTGTTCAAGATTCTAAAGAACTGAAAGATGTTTTTCTAGATTTTTTAAAAAAACAAAAATAAGTAAATGTAAATAATAAAAGTTCAAAAAAGTAACTAATTTTTATTTTAATAAAATGTAAATAACTAAAAATTAAGTTCAAATATGTTAAATAATTTTTTAGTTAATAAGTAATCTAATCATTACTTTAATAAGACGTAAATAATTAAAAATTAAGTTAATATATGTTAAATAATTTTTTAGTTAATAAATAAATATATACATACTCAAGTAAGTTGCAACAGCTTGTCTTATTTCTTCTGCAATAGGTTCCATATCAAAAATAATGGGGTGTTGGTCAGGATGTTGGTTTTTATCAATATTTTTCAGCTCTTTTAACCATTGTGCATTAATGTGGTCGTTGTTTTCATTTAAAAAATTGTGCAGCACACAACAAGCACTCACAATAATATTTGCATTATTAATTCTATTGTCTAAACCCTTTCCTATTCGTCGAAATCGTGCTTTTAAGTGTCCAAATGCATTTTCAACAACCCTTCTACATTTCGAAAGTTTGTAGTTATAATTTTTTTTTACAAGCGGCATATCAACATTAAATGGATATGGTTTCATTAAAGTTTGGGTTAGCCTAAATGCCGAATCTGCTATTATATATACTGGCACATCCAAGTTGCATATATTTTTCTTATTTTTCCTTAATAAGTTGCACGTATTTAACATCTTTTTCAAGTTGGATGTTTCAAATATATACGAATCATTACAACGTCCAGGAGTTCCCACATTAACGTACATGAAACGGTACCTATTAAATGGTATTAGTTTAAAATAGAGTGAAAAATAATAATCCACATACCTGAAATCCACTAAAGCTAATAAAACTATTGAGTGCCATCCTTTATAGTTGTAATAATCAACTGCATCCTCTGAGTTTGGACGTATTTTAATATGACATCCATCTAAATAAAATTATTATTAAACACTTTTACATTTAAATTTATAAGTACATACCAAGGGCTCCTAAACATTGTGGAAATCCGAGAAGTTCAAAACCTTTTACGCATTCTGCCACGGTTTCTTGTGTTAATGGAAATCTTTTTAAATATGTAGGTGACATCACTTCCCATACAATACTGCAAAATTCCAATACAATAGTGCATACTGTAGATTTGCCAACGGCAAATAATTCACACACTACCCTGTATTCCCCTGAAGATCCTAACGCACATAAAGCAATTGCGACTCTTTTGTCAAGAGGAACCGCTTTACGCCAATTAGTGTCCTTTTTTTGAAAAGATTTTAACAACTCACACAGAACTGAAAAACTTTTTCGAGTTATACGAAAATGTGTTTTAAAAACATCTTCCGTGTGACAGCACATGTTCCAAAATGCTGATTGCCGGTTCTAAAAAAAAAATTAAATAACATCATTTCAATGTACGATGATATATTTACAAATTTCCAAAATGGTCTTGGTACAGATGACGTTGTTCCAAGTAGTAAAGCTTTATAACAGTCCTCCATTTGTTGATGTAAAGTAACAATGTTTTGCTTCACCAATTGTAAATCATTGTCTAAGGCGCTACTTATTATATTTGCAGTAGTTTGACGATGGCAAATATTTTGAAAAATATATTTTAATAAGAATTCCATATTATTATTTATTTTTTGTATATTATATATTTTATTTATTTCTGTTTTATTTCAAAAATCAAATTTTTTAATTTCAATATCAAATATTTAAATATTTCAAATACAAATAGTGTTTTGAGCATGTAATTCCATATGTAAACAAAAAACATATGATTTCCTTAATTTGGGCAGTATGAACACTTTCGAAACTAACTTAGTTTCATTTTTCCGAAACTAAGGAAATTTGGCTGTCTGAACATAGTATTAAAATTAATTTACCAAAAATATTTACAATCGTGAATCTATTACTAAAATAATGAGTAACGCTTTAGAGAATGAATTTGATTTGTTAAAACAGCTTATAGTGTTTAAACAAATTGATAAGATAAATGAATAGCTGTACAGTAATATAACAATAAGTATAATAAATCTGAAATATGTGATTCTTTTTGATAGCGCTTTTGTGCAGATAATCATTTGACAAATGGTCCCGGCAAATTTACGTTCTTTTTAGTTACGAATAAAATGCATGTAATGCAGACTACTGCTTTTGTACTTTTTTATTGCGATTAAATTTAAAAGGATATGTAATAGTACGTTTCCACTGCTTCCTTAGTAAGCTTAGCTTACTAAGTAAATTTCATTAACCATACAAAGAGCTTCTTTGCATTTTCACTTACTTTAAAATATAGTAAACAAAATTCGACCAAAATTATACGAAAAATGAATGTAACATTGATAATTATCGAAATTTGACTTAGTTGATACAAGAAACAAAATGTAAATATTACCCCAAAATTACACAATGTAAATATTAACCAACAAGAGGTAATTTTTAAAATATTTTTTTTTTTATAAACAAATTATATAGTTAAATTATAAAAATATAAAAATAAGTTTATATATCAAATATATATTTGATATCATTATACAATGTCATATATTTTTTAACAAAAAATATTTCAATTGGATGTCAGGACAGATAATGGATAAGAGCTCACAAGTATGCATGGTGCATTTATAATGTTTGTAGTTCAATAAAATAAAATATTATTAATATTAGGAAAAAACATAACAATTGGGAATATGTGGACTGAGGGAGGTGAACAGTTATTTATATTGGCCATACAATGAAAGAAACACTTAGTTGATAGACTAATCAATTTTGAAGATGGCAAGAGAATGTCCACACGAAAGAGCAGTAGCGGACATAGTGACTAGTCAATATATATTTTTCAATTTTTTAATTCTTTATTTATTATTAATGTAGTTATAGTACATTTTATTTTTAATTTATAAGTTATTAATGTTATTATTAGTTGAAATAAAACTATTGAAAATTAAATAATTTGTATTTTTTATAAATCATTGCACTTTCTTTTCTATATGCAACAACTGTAAAGAAACTCATTGTTACTAAGTAATTTACTTAGTAAGTAGTGGAAATGTAGTATAAATATGCTCACTTACGCTTTGCCAATAAAAATAAACTCATAGAAGCTGTAAAAATGTTAATTTATCCTTATATTATGTTGCAATAATTGTTAATAATATATACAAAATTAAATTTCCTTAAATTCGGAAAGTCTAAGAATTCAATTATTAGCGGTTTATTAAAATGTCTGTGTTGCTTCCTGGCATTTTCTTTTGTAAAATTTTTTTAAAATTGCAGTAATTTGCTCCTAAAAGGCACAAATTTTGACATTTATGACTGAGCAACACTCTTTTGACTAACATGAGGCACACAAGGACTTATCACCGTGATGAAATTTTACGCGGCATTTTATTTTTCTCAGTTTCAATTTTTAATTTGCATTAAAATTGGCACGTTACATAAAGCATTAGTTTATTTTTTCTGGTATTTTTTGTACAACACGAAAACCATCTGTATTCACTTCCCAGAGTTTTAGTTAGGCATGTTCTCTTGATTGAAATATTTGTGATAAAGTTTTACCGGTTTTATGAACACATGTTTTTTTAGATAAAACTTGGTTTTACATTATCTCAATTCAAATCATGAAAATTTATCTTTTGTAGAGTTGTACTTCATTAATTGACAACTGGTTTAAAAAAATCATTAACATTTCATATATTTTAATTTTTTAACTAGAGATTTTTTACTATATCCAGTGATAGTATAAATTAATGAATATTATAAATAGTGAAATATATATTCAATAAACATTTACAGAAAGTTTTTCTCAATCGAAGTTCATCTTACTAACACATTTGTCCTGTTTACACAAGTACTAAAAGTTGTTTAATGGCTTTTAAAATCAATTTTAAGCACACTTTGAAATCAGTTTTTATTAAAAACAACTTAAGGTTACTAAACTTAATGTTAATTTAAATGTTAGAGATACACCTTAAAAATAATTTCTACATTAAATATCCGTTATCAGCTGACAGTTACTTTAAAAGTACTTTTAATAGTTTCACGGAATAGCCCTTAAAATTGATTTAGAAATTTGTTTTAAAATAGTTTTTAAGGCTGGTGTAAACATCATATTTCTTTGTTTTTAAAAATATTGGTATGGAGGTGTTCAAGGTTGTGCAGCATACGTTTTGTAAATAGAACCCCAATCGAAGTTAATATCAAAATTTTAGTTGACATTTTTTATGGCTTTGGATATCTATGTATATACATACATATATGGGTATATATATATATATATATAAGAACAATTGCTTATTCAAACTTGCTTATATGTATGACGTGGTATTGCGTAAGTGGATGAAATCCAGTCTTAATTGGGTTAGTGGAAAGACTTTTTCATGAAGGACATCACCAGTTACGGTGCTGATAATGCCGATGGATACAAAAAATAATATATGAGTTTACATGCGTTGATGCGGAAATAACCTAAAAGTACTTTAGTGACATTAATTTTATGGCGAAATTCATTCGTAATTAAATCGATGAAAAATTGTATTTATTCCTATATAATGTAGTTAAACTTTACTAATATAATAAACTTAAAAAAAGAAT